GTGTTAAAGAGACCTTCCCGCGTACAAACTCGGTGATTTGATGATATAATTGGACTAAAGCCAAATTGAAACTAATTAATCCATCAAAAATATACTTAAAATCCCTCTCTAAACATTGTATTCGCAAGGAAATACAAGATATAAAAAATCTATTTTTAGAAGCCATGTTTGTCATGTAACTTGATTGCGGGGGGCCTCATTTTCTGAACTTATTTGTCAATACTTACACTGTCTATTTTCCATACATATTCAAGCCCAGTAAATCCTTATCTTCTGAAAACTTCTTTCTCTGACGTTTAATTGCTGGGCCCTTATTCACGAAAACTTAAACTAAGATAAAATCGAAATTTTAAGAAATACTGCAACTTCATTGGATATATGCAAATTGATTTTACTGGTCAGCCAATCGAATTGCAGTATTTCTTAAAATTTCGATTGTATCTTAGTTTAAGTTTTTGTCAATAAGGGCCCAGAGTACATTTAAACCCATCAATGTTCCCACTACCACTCCTTAAAGGAGCTAAATCGCTAATATTTGGGATCTAGAAATTGACACAAATAGGTCGCAACGCACATAATAATGTAATATGATATAAACTGATTTACATTCAATAGTTTCTGTTTTTACTCTAATTTCTAATCAGTTATGTTCGGCGAAATACGCCAGAAGTCTCAATCGAATTGAAATCTCTAGTGTCCGGTTATTCCAGTCTACACGGATAGTATTTATTGCGCATGCTCTCCAGATAAGAATATGATGTCACCGTTTGGCATGACTTGTTGAATATGCTTAGCCCAGTTTTCCGAGTTCCTTGTTACAAATGGCGCTGAAACGCATTATGGTACACGATTCGTGTACCAATGGTAAAATGTTTATTTTGTCTTAAATATTAGATATCAGAAGTCCATCTTTTACCGGTAAGATCACAACATTAATGTTGATTTAGATTGACAAATAATTCGCGTTTTGAATGTTGAAGATTTTGGATGATATTGAGTTAGAGACTTAGCTACTTTAAGGCAAGCTGAAAAACAATAAGCCGTCGGGTTGCCAGTTAGTGATACCCGGACATTTTTGCCTCATGGGTGTTGTTTCAGGAATCTGGTATTTTTCTAGTAAGATTGGGCATCCTACTTCCCATTTATACCAAATTTGCCATATTTTAAATAACTCCTATAAGTACTTTCGTGAGAATGTATCTTGAAGCACAGACATACATGTACAGTTGCTTATATAGCCCAACCAGTTAAACATACATTATGCAAAAGCTAAATCTGCCAATTGCAGGACTTCCGTTAGGCCTAAAATGTTATCTAAATTTTTATTAGACATTAATTACATGTAACTTATCCAGACCATAATAAACTCTTGATGGCATCGCTAGCCTGCAATATTTACTGGATTATGATCCCATTTGATGCTTGACTTCCATTCATAATTTAATCATGAAATGGATGATCGAGACTAAGTTTTATTTATCGTACAGACTTTAGTAATGATGATCGAGGCTGGGCCGAAATTTCAATCGCTTAATTATCGGTTCATAGTGGACCAATTTGAATGAAATTTTCAGCAAATACCCTTTACATTATCTAGTGTTTAACTATTATAGTGAAAACTGCCAGCCCTTTACCGAATCTCCGATAAGGTATCTTTAATGGTCATTATTGAACTCAGTAAAGATATTCACCTAACAAACATCCACATCGTACATCACTTGTTCACGTTTCACAGAAACAACATCAATGGGATTCAGCCACTGTTGAACAACTATTTAATCCATTGACTATCTTACACAGGGGGGGTTGGATGGCTGAATGGTTAGCACGTACGCGCTGTATCATGAGACCTGTCATTGAGTCACCTGGCGTGGTTTCGAATCCCCGGTTGTACGTGACAAGGAGTAGGGTAGCCTGTTCAATCTCGTGGGTTTTCTCCGGTTTCCTCCCACTGTTAGAGACCCCTACGTGCAAACAAATTATTGAAATAAAATTAAACCATATGTTAGTGCCGAAATGACCTTGTCTGGGTCAAGTGGATGTTAAACCCCATTTCTCTCTCTCACACACACAAACTGTCACACAAAGCTAAGTTTCACAATCTGATTAAAATACAGATCTATATTTCGTTTTTTTCGTTTTTTTATACTTTCGATGGTCTACACTACATGAAGATCTGACCAGTTGTAGTGATAGGTCACATCATGGGTCAAAAGACCGACTTATGACCCTATGACGTCAGGCATTTGATTAACCAATCAGCATTGATGTTACTAGTGGATTACCCACAGTTCCGTGAAAAACACGCCTAAAGCTCGCCGTAACAGACCGTTTCATTGGCTTATCCCTGACACCATTCAGAACGTGGGTTATATAACAACTCTTCCAGATCCAAGTGTAGTAAAGACAAGTAAAACGAAATTTTGAACTATAAAAACGAAACGAAATAAGATCTGTGTTTTAACCAGATTGTAAGTATCACAATCTCTCTATGATTTACTATATGGCCGAATAATCTAAAATCATACTTACATGTACAATAGTGACTAGAATCGCCAAGTTCCTGTCAATATTTACTTGTGGAGTAAAAGTTATAAAACAAACGTGTGAAACAGCTTATTGATTAGTGATACTCTGTTCTAACGTAACGTGTTCATATAGATCACTGACTTTCAGGAGTAATTTTCGATTCCCAATAGACCGATAAAATCCATTCAAAAGAGTTCCATAAGAATCTAGGTCTCAACATCCCAAGTTTGACCAGTACACTAAAATCTTAACATGCAATCATTACATGATGTTAAAGGGACACAAACTAGCTCATTCGAAGAGAGAGAGAGAGAGAGAGAGAGAGAGAGAGAGAGAGAGAGAGAGAGAGAGAGAGAGTGAGAGAGGGTTTAACATCAACTGGACACAAACTAGGTCATTTTGGGACTAACATATGGTTCAATTTTATTTCAATAATTTGCTCGTCACGTACAACCGGGGAATCAAAACCACGCCAGTTGACTCAATGACAGACCTTATGATGCAGCGTGCACGCACTTACTTCAGGTAAACTTACTATTTCTTTGGGGCAAAAAACTAATTTAAAAACAGAAAGTATTTGCTCTTCTCGAAAGCTTTTTGTTGCAATTTTTTTAATTTTGAAATATTTGATGAACATATCATCCATGTTGTTGTTTATTACAATGTGCGTCCTCGCTCAAGATAAAGGGACATAATTTATAGGCGAGGTGGTCCCACGTGACCTCATTGTTTACCTTATAACAGTTTTCCTGTACATTCATTACGAACTCGTGTGTTGACAAACGTTTTTGTCGTTAATATGGAATTTAATACCGATACGGTTCTCTTACCATCGATAACGTCACATGGAACACAGATCATTCATGATAGTAAGAACTAAAATGGAATTGGATTGGACTAAATTACAAATATTTAAATTATTGATATTTTATTAAAAACAATTACATTTTTATCATGTTAGTGACAGTCAGAACTTATCTTTGAAACAATTAAATGTTTATTATGTTAGTAAAAGTCAGAACTTATCTTTAAATCAATTACATGTTTATCATGTTAGTGAAAGTCAGAACTTATCTTTAAATCAATTACAGTTTTTATCATCTTAGTTAGTAAAAGTGAGAATGTCTCTTTAAAACAATTACATTTTTATTTTGTTAGTTGAATTGACAATGATCTTTAATTACATTGAAAGTGACAATGTATCTTTAAAACAATTACATTTTTATTATGTTAGTATAATTACATTTTTATCATCTTAGTGACGGTCAGAACTTATTTTTAAAACAATTACATTTCTTTTATGTTAGTGAGTCAGAACTTATGATAAAAATGTAATTGTTTTAAAGATAAGTTTAAAAAAATTACATTTTTATCATGTCAGTGAAAGTGACAACGTCTCTTTAAAACCACTAATTACTTACAGCTCAAGACTCCCATTAAGTAAAAGATGATCAATCAATCAAACGTTCGTGTTGTTCACCGAAAGTTGAAGTATTTTCATCTCTTCAGTTGGCCTTTATACATCAAGGATGTTTTCAAATTAGCTCGATTTATGAGATTATGATAGTTTTGCGACATCCAGCCTTTTACAATTAGTGAAGTGTGTAACAAGTTAATACTGTATATAACGCTATCGATTATAACGATTGATTAACATTATCCACTACCAAATCAAATAAAGAAAATGGTCGTGATGGAAGCATCTAAATGTTAGCTTTACTTTCGTCCGATTTATCGCATCATTTATAAAATCAATATATAAATAATTGGAAGTCGAGGATGTACGAATTTAACATTGAGGGGACTCAGTGCCTTTATTGGGGACCCTTCTATTGAACAGAGAGAGAGAGGGGGGGGGGGGAGAAATGAGGTTTAACGTCCACTCAACACAAACTTGGTCATTTCAGGACAAACATATTGTTCAATTTTATTTCAATAATTTGCTTGCTCGTAGGGGTCTTTAGCAGTGGGAGGAAACCGGAGGTCCCGGAGAAAACCCACAAAGTTGGACAGGCGACACGTACAACCGGGCTATCGAAACCAATGACAGACCTTACGATAGAGCAGGCACGAGCTAACCATTCGCCCCCCCCCCCTCTTTAAAAAGAATTAATCCGTTAATCTTCAAATGAACTTATTCCGATCAACAAAACACATCTGGTCAATCTCCCCCCATCAAGCACACAGTATACATGTACACTTAAAAAGATCTATACATTATTATTCCACGTTGTTCGCTATCTGAACACACACCCATTTTCATTTACACACAAACCTGTGAAATACATGTGCCTGACCACGTTAAATATTTTGATGAATGAATTTTGTTACAAGTAAGATAATAAAAGGTCATGATGAATGGAATAGACCTACCTTTAACATTCATCTCACGGACAAAACACTTACATCCAACCTTTATCTAAAACTATCTGTATATCAATATTTGAATTTGTTGTAACACCTGTCACAGTACGTATTGCGCAAGTATGTTTATCACGATTCAGTATTTATACATGTTATATTTTATAATGAATCAAGGATAGAAATCAGTGAGACTCGTGTATAAATAGTCTTATCATTGACTGTCATCTCAAAACTGGTAATATATTTTCTATATTTCATCTAATGCTAGAGAGAGACAGAGGGAGAGAGAGAGATGTTTAATGTCCACTCGACACAAACTAGGTCATTTTGGGACTAATATGGTTCAATTTCATTTCAATAATTTACTTGCGCGTAGGGATCTTTAGCAGTGGGAGGAAACTGGAGGTCACGGAGAAAGCCCACAAGGTTGGACAGGCGACCCTACTCCTTGTCACGTACAACCAGGGAATCGAAACCCCGCCAGTTGACTCAATGACAGACCTTATGATGCGGCGTGCACACGACATGCTAACCATTCGGTCATCCAAATCCCCCTGGGCTATTTAAGACAGGCATAATGCCATAAAGTGAGCTATGAGGGAAATTTTGCCCCGGAATTGGCGCTATGCCAAGGTTTCTTTTACGTACATGTATGCGGCAATGTGTACACAAGTCCTCTGTTTTTCGTCTCATCCCAACGACTACAATGTATATGTTGTCCCTCGCCAGACCCTCTGTCCTGCACCACTGACAAGGGGGAAACCACACCAGAAAAACAAGATGAGCCTTTTTGGCCAGCAATGTGGCTCTCCTTATTCCATTATAATAATAATAACTATCATTAATGAGGCTTAACAAACTAATCTTCCACAGTCGGTCTTAAACTACAAAAACATTATATTGTTATATAACTTCCTTGTTTAAAATTAAAGGAAATGGGTTTTATTAATGTCCTGCACAGACTGAAATGAAACAATAATATGAATGACAAAGTCAATGAAGCTAATTTCTCTAAAATATATAAATAAAACAATCATTAATCATCAATTTCATCACCAAATACAAAATAAATCACACCCTTAAAATTTCTCCTTCTCAAATAACCCATCTTAACATTTAAAGGACCTAAGTCCGTAACTCAAAATCCTCCAAAATCTTCGACATCGAAAACACGAATTATTGGTCAATTTAAATCAACATTGAGCTTCTGATATCCGATATTTAAGACAAGAGCATCGCTAACGCTGCAATATACGTCCACATTCCAGTTTTGATTGATATGGTACTTTTTAAAATGAAGAGAATGAAATATGAAATGGCTGTAATATGATCAGAGGCCAAGAAGGCTAGGCGTCGGGTTTGTTTTGCCAAATTTACAGACAAAATACTAACAATAAAGTGGGCGTGACACTGCCCTACGAGGTCGGGGCAAGCATCAAAATAAATAGTTGCTGTCTTTATGGTTTAAGGAATAAATATGCAAAATTCCAAGATGATCCATTCAGAATTGCAGCCTGTAGACCACAAATACAAAAACTGGGCGTGGCTCTGCCCATGGGGGTTGGATATGGAAACAATATAAATAGGTACCATCCTGTTATTGAAATGACAACATCAATAGTTGCCGTCCTTAGGGTATAAGGAATAAGTATACCAAGTTCCAAGATAATCCATTCAGAATTGTGGCCTTTGGGCGTTAAAGCCAAAAATTGGGCGTTGCTCTGCCCCTGGGCGTCGGGGCATTCACCAAAATCAATAGTTGATGCCCTTAGGCTATAAGGAATACATATGCCAAATACCAAGTTGATCCATTCAGAATTCCGGCCTGTAAACGATAAACATAAAAATTGGGCGTGGCTCTGCCCCTGGGGGTTGTGACATGCAATTGTCGTCCTTAGGCTATAAGGAAACATATCCCAAGTTCAAAGACAATCCATTAAGAATTGTGGCCTGTAGGCAACTCACAGAGACACAAAGAACAAAATGGGTGTGGCTCTGCCCCTGGGGGTTGGGCAATCACCAAAAAAATAGAGGTCATCCTTAGGGTATAACGTATAGGTATAAAAAAGTTTTTCGAGATCATCGATTAAGCATTGCAGGATGTAAGTGACATACAGACACACAAAAAGAAAATGGGTGTGGCTCTGTCCCTGGGGGCTGGGCATTCACCACAAACAATAGGGATGTTCCTTAGGATAGAAGGAGTAAGTATGCAAAGTTTCAATGTGATACGTTAAGAAATGCGGTCTGTAGATGACAAACAATGAATACAAGAAATGGGCGTGGCTCTGCCACTGGGGGTCGGGCATGCACCAAAAACAATAGGGATCATCCTTAGGGTATAAGGAATTCATATGAAAATTTTTCAAGACGATCGATTAAGAATTTTGGCCTGAAGGCAACACACAGACACACAAAAAGGAAATGGGTGTGGCTCTGCCCATGGGGGCTAGGCATGCACCCCAAACGATTCGGATGTTCCTTAGGGTACAAAGAATAAGTATGCAAAGTTTCGAGATGATGCGTTAAGAAATGCGGCCTATAGACGACAAACAAACAAATATAAGAAATGGGCGTGACTCTGCCCCTGGGGATCGGGCATGCACCAAAAACAATAGGGATCTTCCTTGGGGTATAAGGAATAAGTATACCAAGTTTGAAGAAAATCCATGAAGAATTGCGCCCTGTAGGCGAACCACAGACACACACACACACACACACACACACACACACATACATACATACATACACACACACACACACACAGACAGGGGCGACGGCATAATACGTTCACATTATGAATGTGGACGTATAATAAAATAATTTTTTTAAATTGGTACACGAATCGTGTACCATAATGCGCTTCAGCCCCAGTTGTATTGAGAGACTCGAGGGACGAGGCTAGACACATTGCACCAAATCAAATGGAGTTATGTAGACTAGAATAACTAGACGCTAGAAATTTGCACTCGATTGAGATTGCTGACTTATTTCGCCGAACATAACTGATTTGAAATTGGAGTAAAAACGGAAACCATTAAATGTAAATCAGTTTATATACATTCATATTACAGTATTATATGCGTTGCGACCCACTTTTGTGAATTTCTAGGTCCCAAATGTTAGCGATTTAGCTCCTTTAATAAGCCTATATAGATATAAATCTCAATAGTATGTCACAGTCGCTACTAGTATATACGGAACTTCATTAATCCATATATTTAGTGGTGTTGAAAGGTGAACACCAGTATGGTCAACAGACTGTTGGAAGGTGAACACCAGTATGGTCAACAGACTGTTGGAAGGATTATGGTCGTTATTATAGAGAATGATCTGTATAAACCAGACCCGATTTTCTACCAATTAAACATACATTATGCAAGAGCTAAATCAGCGGATTCCAGGTCTTATTTTAAGTCTGAAATGTTATCTAAATTATTAATAACATTAATTAACCTATCCAGACCATAATCAACTCTTGATGCCATCTTATAGGTCTGATTTTCACTGGATTTGTATCTGATCTGCTGCTCAACTTTCATTCAAGATTTAATCATGAAATGGATAATCGAGACTATGTTTTTTAGACCGAAAATTCAATCGCTAAATTCTCAGGTACAGAGTGGATCAATTTCACTGAAATTTTCAGCAAATTCCCTTTACATTATCTAGTTTTTAACTATTATGGTGAGAATTGCCAGCTCTTTATCTAATCTCCCATAATGTATCTTTAATATACAGCAGTGATATAAAGGTTATTTTCTCTATTTAACTTACTGTGAGATATACAGACAACAACTGTGATATACGGGTTATTAACTCTATATACCTTACTGTAAGATATACAGCCAACAACTGTGATATATGGGTTATTATCTCTATTAAACTTACTGTAAGATATACAGCCAACAACTGTGATATACGGGTTATTATCTCTATTTAACCTGATATATTTAAGTTACTGTGAGATAAGAGGAAGGAATAAAGAGAAAGTTTGAATGGAACCTGGAACTAACAATTGTGGTTACACCTGACAAAATGTCTGATTATTAGAAAGAAACTGATCATCATTGAGGAATTTTGAATCCCTGGTCATCTACAATTTATAAATATTGTGACAGCTGAACTTTAAAAGGAATATCAGGTCCAAAAAAGGTTCAATTCCATTCAGTAAAGTGATATGAACAAGCCAGTGCCATTTATAATGAAATGAAATGACATGAAATGGGGTTTAACATCCTACTGTTCTGCTCTGACAGGGCTAATGAAGACGGGCATACGCCATACAGTGTGCTATTAGGGAAATTTTGCCCGGGCAGCTGCATTACGGCCTACTCTTATATCAAATTCCAACTGTCAAGGGATCTTTTACGTACACACCAATGTGTACACGGGACCTTGTTTTTTCGTACCACTCGAACGACTAGAGAGCTGTCCTTGTCAGGCCCTCCGTCCTGCATCACTGACAAGGGGCAACCATGCTGGAAAATCTGGATGAACTTTCTCGGCCAATGCAGGGGTCGAACACCTGAGTGTCATTTATAAGTGTTAGTGTAAACCTTTTGATGGGCCTTCTTAATCCTGTTGAATCCACTGATGCTTTGGATTAGTTTCCTTAATTAAATTTCCAAAATCAATTCCTACTTTCCGGAAAATGTTAATTACGATAATGGGTTAGACCCATCACTAAGCTCTGGGTGGGTATACATGTGTTAAATGCCGCAATACAGATGACGTCATAAAAAGTGAAAGATTGGAATCCAGTTTTGACTCCATTTGAAAACGCGTTACTTTTCTTGTTGGTGGTTAAAAATCATCCATATCTTGTAATTAATGCTGTAACTACATTCACCGGCCGTTATCAAAATAAATATCATTTCTAATTGATTTCTTTATGAACTTAACCAGCAGACAAACAGTTAGCTAATTGTACATCAAAAACCTTGATATAGATATGTTAGAAGAAGAGGCCAGATCATTGCTAGTGGTAACAAGTCTACATGTATTTGAATTTATCTCAGATTTTAAAATTATCAATAGAAACACAGACAAAATGCCAAGACTCGAATCGTTCCTGCCAAATCCTGAATACAAGTCTGATATTGTCAGAGAGAGGTGAAGTATTGCCAGGCTTGACATGTTTATTGCATTTTTGAAAAGATATCTTTATTAATAGCTATTTTCATATACATATACAATATAAAGTACATGGCCATCGTTTTTCATCAGGAGATCAACGCCTTTCGATTGGCCTGAAGAATTTGCCATCTTGTATCAATAGTAACTTTGCAGTTGTCGTTGTTTGTATTTTACAGGAGAGACGAAAAAGGCTCCCCTTAATCAACAAATTGAAAAAAATCGCTCCCCTAAAAAAGCTCTCCCAGTTTCGATAATAAGAGAGATTTAGAAATTAAGGAGAGTGATTAGTTGTGTGTATGGGAAATGATTTTTAATTTTACATGTATGGGGAGGTAGAAAAAGCTCTCCCAGTTTCGATAATAAGAGTGATTTAGAAATTAAGGAGAGTGATTAGTTGTGTGTATGGGAAATGTTTTTTAATTTTATGGGGAGGTAGAAAAATCTCCCCTCGCTTGACATTCAGGTGCACGACAGGCGCTCGAGAGCGATCGCTCGACTTAAAAAACAATGACAGACATATGTAATATATAATGTCACACCATTTGTTCTAAAACTGTTTTATTCATTTTGTGACAGTTACAGGGAAAAAGGGAGGTAACTATGCTTCAGGTTATTTCCAGGTTACATTTTCTGACGGCCAACTTCAAGTTTGGTCAAAGGTCACAAGATGTAAACAGGGCTAGCGCTAATCCCAAACCTAACCCTTGACCTAGCTCCAGTACTTTCCCTAACCCTAACTGACAATCTCGCCAACAATCATGTGCCATAACCTTATTTCCATCTCAACGACCTTGACGAAAATTGAGCTGGCCTTAACAAATAGATTTAGCCATTTTCTGACTTGTAATTAAATGTATCATTAAAAATACTGTACGTGACCTACATATGCCATAACGAAATGAAATGGGCTTTAACATCCTAATGAAGACAGAAAATTCTGACCAGACAGCGAGCGCTATGCCTATTCATATTTCCAAATTCCAATTGGCAAGGGTTCTTTTACATGCATGCCAATGCGAAGAAAGGACCTCGATATTTCGACCCATTTAGACATGTATTTAACACGGGGCCCCCAAGTTAGCAAACAGCCTTTTTTACTGACGTATTTTTGGTTCCCACCTACCATATCATACATTAATGTACCACGAAGCTGTTCTTACTCGTTCACAGTGGGGGGGCGGGGGGAGATGGCCGAACGAATGTTTAGCGTGTGCATGTTGTATCATAAGGCAGGTCATCGAGTTAAATGGCGTCATTTCGATTCCACGGTTGTACGTGACAAAGAGTAGGGTCGCCTGTCCATCCCCGTGGGTTTTCTCTTGGTCCTCCGGTTTCCCCCCAATGCTAAAGGTTCCTACCTGCAAGCAAATTATTTAAATAAAACAAGCCAACAGCGAGGCTGATGTCCCCCGCCGAAATTGCAAAATAAATAGATGACACATATAAATTAATCGCACATTTATTTTTTTCACTAAGTTTCATCACTCTCTATCAGATAGAATCAAGATTATCTTGTCCCAAACCATCGACAAATGAAATCGATTAGCTCTGCTTAGCTTCAGCTCGAAATGTTAATTATTGAACTCAGTCAAGACATTCACCTAATGAACATCTACATATACATCAAGTTTAAACATTCACCTAATAGACACCTATGCCAAGTTTGAACATTCTACCTCAATTAGAAGGAGAGTTATTGTGTTCCAAAGTTTCTACCAATCAAATTGCTTATCACTCTGCTTACCCTCAGCAAAAAATGTTCATTATCGAACTTAGTTAAGGTATTCATATAATAAATCTATACACCAAGTTTCATCAATCTCACTTAATTAGAACTAAAGTTATCGTGTCCCAAAGCATCAACCAATCAAATTGCTTATCTCTGCTTACCCTAAGCGGAAAATGCTCATCTTCGAACTCCATCAAGGCATTGACCTAATCAACACATACACCAAGTTTGAACATTCTAGCTCAATTAGGAAGAGAGTTATCGTGCCCCAAAGTATCAACCAATGAAATTGCTTATCTCTGCTTACCCTAAGCGGAAAATGCTCATCTTCGAACTCCATCAAGGCATTGACCTAATAAACACATACACCAAGTTTGAACATTCTAGCTCAATTAAAAGTTATCTTGTCCCAAAGCATCAACCAATCAAATTGCTTATCTCTGCTTACCCTAAGCGGAAAATGCTCATCTTCGAACTCCATCAAGGCATTGACCTAATCAACACATACACCAAGTTTGAACATTCTAGCCCAATTAGGAAGAGAGTTATCGTGTCCCAAAGCATCAACCAATCAAATTGCTTATCTCTGCTTACCCTAAGCGGAAAATGCTCATCTTCGAACTCCATCAAGGCATTGACCTAATAAACACATACACCAAGTTTGAACATTCTAGCTCAATTAGGAAGAGAGTTATTGTGTCCCAAAAAGTGTGACGGACAGACAGACGGACGGACAGACAGACGGACAGACAGATGGACGGACAGACGGACAGACAGACGGACAGACAGACAGACGGACGAACCCATTTTAATAGTCCCCTGCTTTCTTCGAAAGGCGGGGGACAATTAAAGCATGACCTAATTTGTGTCGAGTGGATGTTAAACCCCATTTCTCTCTCCCTCTCTCTTACTTCTTCATTCATGGACAAAGATTATTTACCGTATGTCAGCATTTCCCAACAATCCAATGTATGTTGAATTGATTCCACTTGAAACGTTGACAAGAACCGGATAGAAATAGAATCAATTTACCAATATCAATATTGATGCTTAATACATCCTCACAGTCGTGACTGTTTCGTCTGAAGATCTACCAGCAACAGTTTCGATTCTGATAAATTTTAGCAATCTGGCTATTCTTGCCTACATCTTGAAGAAGTCCTTATACTACTACTACTGTTATTTTCTAGATATTTGAGAAATGGAGAAGTTATTTTATCCGCACCATGAGAAAGTAACATGGATGGTTAACAAGTAAATGCTTTTAATAATATTATTAACGATTTTAGATGGTCATAATATATGTTAAAGATACATTTCATGTAAGATTTAAATATAGAGCTGTACAGTCTTTCTATAATAGTTCAAAAATAGATCAAGTTTCAATCCAATTAAATCTCTGCCATTCAATGGTCCAGAGAGTTGATTAGAGACTTGTCATGTTAATAAATGTCTTTGATAATAATTTATATAACATTTGAGAGAGAGAGAGAGAGAGAGAGAGAGAGAGAGAAATGGGGTTTAACATCCACTCGACACAAACTAGGTCATTTCGGGACTAACATATGGTTGAACTTTATTTCAATAATTCGCTTGCGCATAGGGGTCTTTAGCAGTGGGAGGAAACCGGAGGACCCGGAGAAAACCCACGAGGTTGGACAGGCGACCCTACTCCTTGTCACGTTCAACCGGGGATTCATAACATTTGAGAGCAAAAGAAATACATGTATCTGCAATAGGCAGAATTAACTCTTACATAATTAATGCCTCTTCAAAGGATTCATGGATTTAACTTGACCATCGTGACTCCTCCCTATTGATATGCTTTTTATTATCTTTAACTGTTAGCCTGGAATATTGTTGGGGATTTTATATTTTTTTTAAGTAGGAAACCTTTTAAAAGTTTATATTCTGCAAAGTTATAATGAGAACTAATAATGCAAACGCTATAGCAATGCAATGTAATGTCGTTATGAGATTAAATTTTCAATTATTCAGGAAAAGCTACATTTTTCTGATAGTTAATTTCACTGAAAACTATTTAAAGCAGAATTCTCACGAGAAATTACGAGAGATGGAAACATATCCACTGTCAAAACATGTAATGACATCAAAAAAAGATTCTATATTCTAACATTTAAAGATGGGTTCCCGCGTACCAACTGGGGGATTTAATGGTATATATGGACTAAAAACATATTCAAACTAATTAATTTGTCATAATTATGCTTCAAATCCTTCTCAAACATTGTAATTGCAAAGGAATGTCCTGCTATAAAAATTTGATCAAACCAGGTCATTTTTACGTCACGTGAATTACCTCTCTTGGAAGTCAGAGGAGAATTCATTGCATACATAAGACGATGTTGTCTTTAATCGCTTACTATTTATTACAAATATCAAATCCTAATTAAATTCTCGGATTATCCACTACCCGCATCTTTTTCCGTCATTTTTATCTCAGAAAGTGTTGTACGTCTAACTCTTCATAAAGTTTATCAACTTGTACATCAAGCACTCAATGTTCGCGTCGTGTGACCTTTGACATCACACGTGCAGAAATTCCTAATCGTCGGGCTGTTGATTTGGGGAAGCCTTACATTTTCGTCCTGTATACGCTCCATGAGTGTTTTTTGGGGAATCCAGTATTTTTCTAGTAAGATTGGATATCTCTACTTTCCATATATACCAAAATGACCATACTTTTATTGGAAATAACCACCCGATAAATACTTTTCTGGGAACCCATCTTTAAGATCATACTATAAAGATGTTGATGATTATTTGAAATAAATAATATAGATGAAGTCAATAAGGCTGAACAATGATGATGATTATGATGATGATGTCACTGAGCATTGTAGAGCGACAGTTTCTGAGAAAAAAAAAATTTTGTCAACAAAAGTAGATGCATAAAATAATATAAAGGGTCTTCGGCAGACTATAAAATAAAGGGGCTTTGGCAGAAAAGAGTATTGACCTGTAAGCTACAACAAAAATACATGGCATTTCATTTTTCAGGAATGATTGTTCAAAAGATCTGGAAAAAAAAGTCTACAACAAGACACAAAGTTCATATACTGTATGTTTACGATGATGATACAGGTGGATGGAGGGATGTGATTCCAGACCATCAAAAACTGTAGGGGTGATGATTTTCTGTTTCACAAAATGGGAAATTCAGTACATTGTAAATTCCTTTTTTTTTTCCATTTCATGATATAGATCTTTCTGTTTTCTATAATAATATCTATTTTGATACTACTAGGCCCTGAATGTAGCAATAATTTATATTATTCACTTCAGGGCAATTCCACGGTAACGGATGTACATTTTGAACACCTCATATTTTGAATAATTCCAATATTATCTAACCATGAATAATTAACTGTTTGGGTTTCATATAGCATTAAAGACATATGTTATACATGTAAGTATTAACTGATATATGATTTAATTTGTTCATGAACACCTGAAATAAATATTGGCTCCTCAAAGTATAGGTAACGGAAAATGAAATTATTTACTATCAAGCAACAAAATTCAGTGTTTTTTGGGGGGGATTTACGAAAATAGAAAAAAAGGAAAAAAACGTTGGTCGGCAATAAGTGTATTTTTTTATCACAATTATAGATTTTTGGAAAAATAATCTTTTTCGCAATTTTCAATTTCAGGTTGTAAATGTTGTTTCCAATGCCAGATTCCGCATTTTCCACGTTCTTTCCATGATCGTTGAAAATCATCACCCCTAAAACTGTATGAAGGGGTGTGAAGAAAGAATGATCGCGGAAAATCATCACCCCTAAAACTGTATGATGGGGTGTAAAGAAAGATTGATTGAGACTTACCTCCATGGTAATGATTTTCTCGTCCGATACTGGTGACAGACGGAGAGTTGGCTATGAAACAGCCATCATTAACAGGAATTGGAGGGGGCTCGTGAGACCCCTGAATATCATTCCAATCACTACTAGTACTGCCAGGACGAGGCATTACTACACTTAGTTCTTCATTATCACCACTATCTGAATGATCGCCTAACCCTGAAAAAAACAAAAACAAGAGAAGACAATTTTAATAGAAATAAAACACAGGTATCAAATGTACATCGAGTCACCCCAATGATAATACAAATAAAACACAGGTATCAAATGTACATCGAGTCACCCCAATGATAATACAAATAAAACACAAGAATCAAATGTACATCGAGTCACCCCAATTATTATACAAATAAAACAATACGAATATCATCGTCGAAACGTTGCATGTTAATAAATAAGTAATTGTTATTCCATAAATAGTGTGGTAAAACGCTGGCTCGCTAGCCTGGAGGTCGGGTGTTCGATCCCTGCATTGGTCGAGAAAGTTCATCAAGATTTTCCGGTGTGGTTCCCCCTTGTCAGTGATGCAGGACGGAGGGCCTGACAGGGACAGCTGTCGAGTATTTCGGATGAGACAAAAACCCGAGGTCCCGTGTATACATTGGAATGCACGTAAAAGATCCCTTGGCAGTTAGAATTCGATATAAGAGTAGGTGATAGTGCCGCTGCCTGGGCAAAATTTCCCTCATAGCACACTGTTAAATGGCGTATACCCATCTTCATTAGCCCAGCATTGGAGCAGAACAGTAGGACGTTAAAGTCTGAATTTATACCTGCGACTAGTGCCTTACTTTCAGGCTTGACATAATGAAAAAAATGTTGATTTAATCAAGTATGGACCTACACATTTAGATTTTTCTAAAATTTGGATAAAATAAGCTTACATATTGAAGATGCCGTCATCTGTCATAGAGGTATACAGTACAGAGTAAACTGTATTCTGGGAATGAAATGTCTATGTGAATAAATCAACTGTTTGAAATAATTGTCATTTTTATCTATTCACCGACGGGCTGTTATTATGTTCATTGTATATAATATATATCCTACAATTATATGAAATATAAATACATGTCAGGTTATTATTACTACAACTTAGAAGAGTGATAATAACATTTTATAGTTGGGTAATAAATTTCATTCTATTCATGGTCACAAACATGTGAGCAATAAACTTTTGAGGTAGATGTGTAAATAGGCCTACAATGTACATGAAGGGCTAATCTGAATAAAGTAACTAGGACTAATCTGGAGAGAGAAAGCAATGGGGTTTAAGTCCACTCGACTGACTCGACACAAACTAGGTCATTTCAGGACTAGTCTGGAGAGAGAGAGAGAGAGAGAGAGAGAGAGAAATGGGGTTTAAGTCCACTCGACTGACTCGACACAAACTAGGTCATTTCAGGACTAGTCTGGAGAGAGATGGTTCAATTCTATTTCAATAATTCGCTTGAGCGTACGGGTCGTTAGCAGTGGGAGGAAACCTGACGACCAGGAGAAAAGAGAGAGAGAGAAATGGGGTTTAACGTCCACTCGACACAATCTAGGTCATTTCGGGACTAATATATGGTTTAATTTTATTTAAATAATTCACTTGCGCGTAGGGGTCGTTAGCAGTGGGAGGAAACCGGAGGACCCGGAGAAAAATCACAAGTAGTCTGGTCGAGGTAGAAAATTTGTGGGAAGAAATTCCTACCCAAATGATTTCTTCATTTTCTGAAACAACTATGTCCCTAGTGTTACAGAAAAATTTTCCCCGCCGACCGGTGTTGAGCAAATTTTTTTACAGCATTTTGAAATTTTGACCCCCTGGGTCAACATAATGAAACTGAAAACCATTTATAACTTCAAAAATATCAATTTTACAGCCTAGAAATGTATTATCAACATATAGGAAAGTGATACCAAGGATTCCAGAAATGATGTAAAAAGTAACATACGACGTCACCGTGACGTCAGAATACAAAATGGCGGAACTATGACGTCACTGTGATGTCAAAATTCAAAATGGCGGAGACGTGTTTTGAATAAAGCAACAACAGCAAGCAAAAAGACAAGAGGAACATTCTGGTGCTGATGGAAGAACAGTCGCGATGGGAACGTGTCTATTCTCTATCACTTGCCAACCTCAATTCACAGGATCGACGCCATTGTCTAGTTCATCCCAAATTCTAACCTGAACATGAACGTGGTGAGCATGCTGCTCGGCTACGGCAGCTGTTGAAGGAAGTCTATTGATTTGACAATTCATCTTCGCCACTTGGACAAAAAGCGCAACAACTATGACATAAAATCAGTCTGCAGCGCAATGGATAAAACTGTATTAGACAATTTATTGTTCATTCGCGCCTGGTCTGGGTGTGATACCACTTCTGGTTGTTTCAGAGTCGGTAAATTGGGACTTCTTAAACATACGAACAGTGACATCTTTCGGGAAGCTAGCAAGACAATAGCTTCACCTGGAGGTTCCCAGTCTGAAGTACCTGCAGCTGGAGAAAGGTTATTCTGTCTAATGTATGGTAACAAAAATGAGATACCTCTGACTAAAGTCCGGTACCTAAGGTACAAAGCTATGATCGCTGAAAAAAATTCCATTCAAATCAATAGACTTCCTCCAACAGCTGCCGCGGCCGAGCAGCATGCTCACCGCGTTCATTTTCTGGTAGAATTTGGGATGAACTAGACGATGGCGTCAATCCTGTGAATTGGGGTTGGCAAGTGATAGAGAATAGACACGTTCCCATCGCGACTGTTCTTCCATCAGCACCAGACAACGTTCTGAATTTCATCCGGTGTAAATGTAAATCGTTGAAAAACCAATGCTCGTCATGTTCTTGTACACAGAATGGTTTGAAATGTGTTGAAGCATGTGGACGATGCCACGGGGAGGGTTGTCTGAACAGCGAACAAATCAGCATTGATTTAGAAGATGAATTTGGTACGGGGTAGAACAAATCAGAACTGAAGAATATTTTTATGATTTTATTGATGATGATCCGAATGAATATTTTATGGTGTCCAGAATGTTCCTCTTGTCTATTTGCTTGCTGTTGTTGCTTTATTCACAACACGTCTCCGCCATTTTGAATTTTGACATCACAGTGACGTCACAGTTCCGCCATTTTGTATTCTGACGTCACGGTGACGTCGTACATTACTTTTTACATCATTTCTGGAATCCTTGGTATCACTTTCCTATATGTTGATAATACATTTCTAGGCTGTAAAATTGATATTTTTGAAGTTATAAATGGTTTTCAGATTCATTATGTTGACCCAGGGGGTCAAAATTTCAAAATGCTGTAAAAAAAATTTGCTCAACTCCGATCGACGGGGAAAATTTTTCTGGAACACTAGGGACATAGTTGTTTCAGAAAATGAAGAAATCATTTGGGTAGGAATTTCTTCCCACAAAGCTGGATTTGTCACCTTCTCCAACCAGCCTAAAGGTTGGACAGGTGTTCCTACTCCTTGTCATGTAGGCTACAACCGGGGAATTAAAACCAGTTGACTCAATGACAGACTTTATGAAACAAAGTGCCTGCGCTAACCATTCATTCATCCCTCCCCCCCCCCCCCATCTGCGCGCAGTGCAAAGAATCAAGATAAATTTGTACTTAGTTCTGTTTATAAACCATAAATCAATGAATAAATCTAGATAACTCATTCATCTCTGACTAACAGACTTTTAATACTAAAGGGGGTCAAACTTAGAAAAAAAAAAAGGATCTTATTTATCACATCATATCCAGGCCATTTTTTAAGGTTTTGCAACAGCAGGCCCTCATCCGTGGAAAATTTGAAAATTTTACCCTCTAAAAATAAAAGACCAATCATGCCCCTGCACTTTAAAGATTTTGACTTAACTTGGGGTGGGGTGGGGGGTTGCAAACATTTTCAGTATGGGGGCAGATCCGTACTTTGGTCTTAAAAAATGGACTGTATCAGACTCCAAATAATCAGAAAATTGTCATGACGAGCAGATTTTATCAATCTCTGGCAGTCGGTGAATTTTATTGCTAGTTTGCTGTCTTATTCTAATTCTAGTTTTAAATTCAACAATATGTAGACAGCAGACTACATGTATATCAGATCTGACATTGTGGTATCACCAAAAAGAAATTTATTTAATAAAATTTATTAAAAACAGATGAGACTGAGAAATGTTGCTGGAGTTTGTGAAGGCTCTTGCAGTTGCATTGCATTTGCACTATTTACAATATAGTATTTGACGTATTTGCAGTGTACGTGTAGGATGACACTTCAACGTCTTCGTCAAATTACTAACTTCCACTGGCTGATGTTAATCTGATACCGGCCGTGGAGATTATAAAAGGCCTAGGACAGCTCCGATATTTCAAGCTACATCAAGTCTGTAACACCCTCCCCAATTCCATGATTACCATCGTTAATTTAAGAGATGCCAACTTTTGGCCACTTATTTCGCCTGAAACACACACGATGAACATCCCCGATATTTCGGTGTTTTCTGGAAGATTGGGTAAATGATACTAAATAAACGATATAATTTAATCTGTCAATGATACGTGTTCCCCTTCCTCAAATCTATTGAGAGCTAAAAATGTCAAACATACATGTATTGTCAAGAACGATGCCAATTTACTTACTATTTCCAGAAACACCGTCTTGATGTTGGGCAGTCATTAAATACCGTTGTGCTGCCCTCTAGTGGGAGTAAAGAGAAGATGTGGAACAACTAAAGGGAAATAACTATTGTTTTTGTGTCACTCTGCCCCAGTTAGAAAATCTATATTTCTTCCAGAAGACTCGTGAACAATTTTTTTTATCATAACAATAAGGCCACGGTGAAATCGATATGTTCATCGATAGGATCTGACGAAGTAGACCCAATCATGCGATTTATTTTAAAAGATAGACATGAATAGGTTACAATGTATAGAACGAAATGCGTTTACTGAAACTAAATTCATTTGATCGGATTCGATTAGCTCATAGCTAGCATTTTAAGCGGCGTGTTGATAAAGAGAGAGAGAGAGAGAGAGAGAGAGATGGGTTTAAGGTCCACTCGCAACAAACTAGGTCATTTCGGGACTAACATATGGTTTAATTTTATTTCAATTATTCGCTTGCGCGTAGGGGTCTTTAGCAGTTGGAGGAAACCCACGAGGTTGGACAGGCGACCCTACTCCTTGTCACGTACAACCGAGGATTCGAAACCACGCCAGTTGACTCAATGACAGGCTTTAGGATACAGCGCGCACGTGATAACCATTCGGCCATCCACCCCCTCCACCCCCTCCACCCGTTGATAAATTTAGGATCGTAATTAGATGGAATATCGGAGGGTGGTGGGGGGGGGGGGTAATATAAAATTGCTTTACATACCTATTAACCTGGCTATGTGACTCAATTGATCCAATTTTCTACTGAATTTCTTCGGTTTCTGAAAAAGTATACAAGTCGGTTAGAGTAAATAGCGGTCGCTATATGCCTATTCTATTTCCAAGTTGATACTTTTAGTATAAGAAATGAATAGAAATGGAGTTTAACCTCCTACTGTTCTGCTAATGACGACGGGCATACGCCATACAATGTACTATGAGGGAAATTCTTCCCGGGAAGGGGCATTATTACCTACTCTTATATCGAATTTCAACTGCCAAGGGTTCTTTTACGTGCACGGGACCTCGGTTTTACATCCCATCCGAACGACTAGACAACTGTCCATGTCAGGCCCTGCAATGCACCACTGACAAGGGGAACCACGTCGGAAATTCCCGATGAACGTTCTTGGCCAATGCAGGGATCGAACACGCGAACTCCAGCCTAGCGAGCCAGCGTCTTATCCACTTAGCCACCGTGGCCCCTTTTAGAATAAGAGAAATTTGTAAGCTATACATTTACAAAAACGAGTAGTAACGGCAAATACAAATATGAAGAACAATAGCCTAAATAGTGAGAACAAAATGGCGACATTTCATGCGATCACTTTAATTTTTCAATGACTGAACACAAGCAGGGGCGGATCCAGGGGGGGGGGGGGCCCATCCCTGAAATGAAATGAAATGAAATGGGGTTTAACGTCCTACTGTTTTGCTCCGAACTGGGCTAATGAAGACGGGCATACGCCATACAGTGTGCTATGAGGGTAATTTTGCCCGGACAGCGGCACTACGGCCTACTCTTATATCGAATTCCAACTGTCAAGGGATCTTTTACGTGCACGCCAATGTGTACACGGGACCTCGGTTTTTCGTCTCATCCGAATGACTAGACAGCTGTCCTTGTCAGGCCCTCCGTCCGTCCCATCCCTGTCCAGCTACATAAAAAATTTGTAAATCAACACTTTTATGAGAAAAATGTCACGATCGTGTGCAATATCCTTTATCATCAGATGATGGGATGGGATGAGCATTCAAAGAGCGAGATAATGATATCACAATGAATGCTTTGCATCAATGAAATTGAATCACAATGTGATCCTATTAATTCATAATAAAAATGGACATCAAACGGGGTGTTGGATTTCTCTCTTTAAAATGCTCAATGTGTATGTATGCCTACTTTGATGTTATCATGCATTGTCAACTGTCAAATTTCCTGAACAGGAACCTGGCAAACCCCTCCTGGAAAAATTACTGGATCCGCCCCTAACAAAAGGACTAGTTTAAGGCATTTATTTGCAATGCAGATCCTGATTACGGAAACAAAAATACACTTTCCGTAATATAATAACAGTTTAAACTCTGTTCATTAGTAATAAATAAATTAGCACAACTTTTACTGGTTAGCGGCCTTTCTCTACTCGCAATTTATTGTTGCCATAACAACGTTGATATTGAATGGGAAAGAAATGGTTTTAAGAAACGGCCGATCGAAATGAAATTCATAGGGGTGTGTGGGGGTGGGGGATTACTGCGAGCCTAGCAATCCAAATTGCAGTTACAAATATTGTATTGTTATCACGATTTAATGTTAGTTCATACATCAAATGAAATGGGGTTTAACGTCCTACTGTTTTGCTCCAACTGGGCTAATGAAGACGGACATGCGGTGTGCTATGAGTGACGTTTGTCCGGACAGCGGCGCTACGTCCTACTCTTATATCGAATTCAAACTGCATCTTTTACGGGCAAGCCAATGTGTTCAAGGAACCTCGGTTTTTCGTCCCATCCCAAAGACTATACGTTGTCCCTTGCCACCGTGGCTCCGACATCTTAATCTTGTTCGACTTGAAATATATGTATAAAATGCCTTTTATTTACCAATCTGATTCATTTTTTATAGTTCAAAATCTCGTCTTTGTACTTGTCTTTATCATACACTAAGTTCTGGAAGAGTTGTTATATAACTCGCGTTCTGATTGATGTGGCGGATTAGTCAATGAAACGGTTGGTTATGGCGAGTTCTTGGCATACGTTGCACGGAACTGTGTTTGATGTCATAAGGTCAAAAGCAGCTCGTATGACCCCCGACGAGACCTCCCACTACAACTGGTCTGATCTTCATGTAGTGCAGGCGATTGAGAGTATAAAAACGAAACAAAATATAGATCTGTATTATAATCAGATAATTAATTTACCTGTAATTTGGCTTTATGAATGTCGGCATCACTGTCTGCATCATACGGGTCCATTGTCCAATACCTAATTGATAAAAACAACTGTATGTTTGCATATTTATATTCAGGGTCGTAACTAGCTCAGGGCAACCGAGGGGGGCTAGAAGTGTTCTCAGGGGTGGTGTAAAATTGACGGACAATGTATATCAATTTTTTTTATGGTCGAATATTTTTTCACAAAGGGGGGGGGGGAATGTTTTGCACCCCCCCCCCCCAGTTACGGGCCTGTTTATATTAGTAGCCACGAGAAAGTAGCTAAAAAAAAAATTTGATATATACCGACGCATGGTTAGTACTAAATGATAAGGCCACCTCAATTTTTCGTCATAGGTCACGAGATGTAAACAGGGCTAGCGCTAATCCCAACCATAAGCCTAACCCCGGCCCTAATGCTTACCCTAACCCTAACCTACAATCTCACCAACAATCACGTGCCCTAACCTTATTTAAATCTTAGAGACCTTAACAAAAATTGAGCTGGCCTTAACAAATAGATTTAGTCACTGGTGGACGGCGGACTGAGAAATGAAGTTTCTTATCTAGTATATTAGTTAATTCAAATAAAAGTTAAAAGGACCGAACTCGCCGATTTAAATGGCTTTGATTTGAATTGGTTGGTTGTTGTGTTCGATTATACATAATCCCATATTTCTGAGCCATGGACCGTAAAATCGGGATTAGGTATAATCGAACGAAACAACCAACCAACCAACCGATTTTTCGGACCATGGCTCAGAAATATGGGATTTATATGCTAATTTATTTTGGATGATATTTGTTGATAAATATTACGTCTGTAAAATCCGTGTTGAAATCAAACATATTTTGGGTTTGACTGTAATCTGTCAAATAAGATGAAATTAAAAAGGGGGTTTAACGTCCTACTCTTCTGCAACGACTGGTCTGATGAAGAAGGGTGTGCGCCATATTTTGCTATGGGTGAAATTTGGCTCGGACAGCGGTGCTATGGCCTACTATTATATCGAATACCAACTGGCAAGTGGTCTTTTACGTGCACGCCAACATCTACACGGAGACTAGTTTTTTTGTTCCATCCGAACGACTAGGCATACGGGGAACTCTCTCGACCACCGGGATCGAACCACAGAGAGAAAGAGAGAGAGAGAGAAAGAGAGAGAGAAAATGGGGTTTAACGTCCACTCGACACAAACTAGGTCATTTTGGGACTAACATGGTTTAATTTTTTTATTTCAATAATTCGCTTGCGCGTTAGGGTCTTTAGCAGTGGGAGGAAACCGGAGGACCCGGAGAAAACCCACGAGGGTGAACAGGCGACCCTACTCCTTGTCGCGTACAACCGGGGAATCTCGAACCACAGAGTGGGCCAGCGCCTTACTCACTGAGCCACTGCGGCTCCATAAACTGTCAAAATATCACATCAGACCAATCTGTAATCCGGGCAGAGAGGGATCCAGGTTGGGACAATGTCGAGTTTGGCCTGAGGGCTTGGGGATTACCGGAGAATTTTATACAGTCAGAAGTTCTGAGTCAATATTGCTATTAGAACTTTGGTGCATATATACAAGTATATGATTGCAGTTTTGTATTGTTTCTGAATATCCCCTACTTTGTTTTGAAGAGTATAGATAAAATTATTTGACTTGGTAATTTTAGTTTTTATCCCAATTAACCAATGTACATGCAAGTCAAGTGAACAAGTTGAAAATAATTTTATTAATAATTAGTGACAGGTCAATATGAAGCAAGGGTATATTTGGGGCCACATATTTATGTATCCTATAGGACACGAGAATTATTTTGCATTAATTCTATATACCGTGGGGCAGCGATTCTCAGCCAGTGTGCCGTGGTCTTCCTAAATGTGCCGCGAAATTTTGAACGGCACACTAAGAAAATGCCAAAAACAAGTGATCCCAATTGAGTATTCACAGGTGTCTACTGATAAGTTCATAGTTCATTTCTTTATTTAGTTTGAGTCATTCTATGTGTCTATGACTAGTCTCTATCTACGGTTGTATGCCGTCTATAGCTTGCCATGTTATTATTTTACAAAATTCAAAATGTTTTTATCACAGGTGTGCCGCTATTTTTTCATGTGTTCCAAGGTGTGCCGTTGGCAAAAAGGGGTTGATAACCAATGTCTTTGACGGAAAATCGTATGATTTTCACTTGACATCATCGGTATTGTCCATCTGCTTCTTTAGTTTTTTTGGAGGGGGCTTGTGTGGCCGAATGGTTAGCACGTGCGCGCAGTATCATACGGTCTGTCATTGAGTCAACTGGCTGTGTTTCGTTTCCCCGGTTGTACGTGACAAGGAGTAGGGTCGCCTGTCCAACCTCATGTACACCACTGGACCTGTCCTTTATCCTGAATTCATGGACATGCACGTTGGAAATATTTGGATAACGAAAGCGTCCTTTTAATTTTTTTTTCACCCCTGACAAGCGGAAATCATTAAAATAAGTTTTTATTGTATCATTTATCCGACATCATAGACTATAAAATTTACTCACAGTTTAATTATATAAAATAAACTTGAATGATCATGTATGGATGTACAGTGTGTGCAAAATGTCGGTGGTCATATACATGTATAAACATCAAACATTATTGCAGAGCGAAAAGCGAAACCAGCCCAGAAACAAAACAATTTGCTTCAACATGGTGATCACACGTCTTAACCCATGTTGTCATTGTTTATATTTGACACATGACATTAGATATAGGCCTAATAACATAGGCCTAATCAACCAGGGGGTTGACAAGCACATATTAAAGTGTTTTATATATACTCTAAGAGACAGATATATCGGCTTTATTGTATGATAAACAACCTGCCTAGAATCAAAACACAATAAGCTATAAATTGTATATATTATGCAACTGACTTTACATTAGATATAGGCCTAATCAACAATTAAGGGGTTGACAATAATATCAAAGTGAAAGACGTGTTTTATGTATATATATATACTAAGAGATAGCTATCGGCTTACCTGTATAAGCAGTCTATCCAGAATAAAAACAAAACAAGCTATAAATTAAGATTATTGTGGTTTTACTACTTCAGCAATACCATAAAGGTACCAGGCAATGTCTTTAGATCAATAAAGTTCTTTATGGCTCCGTTCCATTACTTGGTCTAGTTTTATATTTATAGCCCGTAGTAAACAATCAACCACTATGCGACAATCAACAGATTACATTGACAAGCCGTTAGATCTATATGATAAGGCCAACTTCATGTTTGATCAAAGGTCACGAGATGTAAACAAGGCTAACGCTAATTCTAACCCTAACCCTGGACCAAGCCCCAATGCTCACCCTAATCCTAACCTACAACAACGTGTCCTAAGCTTATTAACGAAAATTGAGCTGGCCTTAACAAATAGATTAGTCATTGACAAACCGGTTTCGGTGACATGTTATACCGAACGTAACGTACATTGAACTGCTTGTATGTTGTAGCCTATTTCAAGTTTGCAAAAAGAACGTGTGTTTGTTTTCAAATGTTTATATTCAACGCCTTTTAACTTTGTACATATAGGAGTAACAATTATTGAGCGGTAAATAATTGCCTATATGACCCAAGCGATGTTTCTTAAAACCATTGACAACGGATAGACTTGCACTACTAGTCGCAGCTTACAAAATGATATGAGTGCAAATGGTGTTAACGTCCTACTATTCGGAGAGAGAGAGAGAGAAAGAGAGAGAGAGAGTTTAACGTCCACAAACTAGGTCATTTCGGGACTAACACATGATTCAATTCTATTTCAATAATTCGCTTGCGCGTAGGGGTCTTTAGCAGTGGGAGCTAGGAAACCGGAGGACTCGAAGAAAACCCACAGGGTTGGACAAGCGATCCAACTCCTTGTCACGTCCGTATAACCAGGAAATAGAAACCACGCCAGTTGACTCAATGACAGACCTTATGATGCAGCGCGCACGCGCTACCCATTCGCCACCCCCACCCCACCCCGGCTCAACTTCAGATTAATGAAATGAAATGAAATGAGGTTTAACGTCCTACTGTTCAGCTCCTACTAGGCTAATGAATACGCGCATACGCCATACAGTGTGCTATGAGGGACATTTTGCCCGGACAGCGGCACTACGGCTTACTCTTATATCGAATTCCAGCTGTCAAGGTTATTTTACGTACACGTCAATGTATACACGGGACCTCGGTTTTTCGTCCTATCCGAACGACTAGACAGCTGTCCTTGTCAAGCCCTCCGTCCTGCATCACTGACAAGGGGAAATCACGCCGGAAAATCCCGATAAGCTTTCTCCGCTAACATCTGCAGGATTGAACACGGACTGTTAAGTTAGCGAGCCAACGTCTTACTCATCGACATCGAGCCACCGCGGCTCGCCGAAAAATAGAGCCCCCCTTGTACACAATGGCGTGCACGTAAAAGAACTCTAAGATGGAGTTCGAGTCTTGGCAATATTCCCCTCGTATGAAGTGTGTCCGTATTCATTAGGGACAGCTGTCTAGCTGTTCGGATGGGACGAAAAACCGAGGTCCGGTGTACATATTGGCGTGCACGTAAAAGATTCCCTGACAGTTGGAATTCGATGTAAGAGTAGGCCGTAGTGCCGCTGCCCGGGTAAAATTGCCCTCATAGCACACTGTATGGCGTTTGCCCGCCTCCATTAGCCGAGTCGGAGCAGAACAGTAGTACGTTAAACCCCATTTCATTTCATTAAACGCAAGCTATGATATTGTATAACGTGTTTATTCCAATTCATCTATTTTTGATGTTTAGAACAATGAGTAATGTTTAATCAATAAAAATAAGTTGATTATTCAACATGGCCTACTTTTTTTATAGCTTGATCAAGTATTGTATTCACTCCAGATCATATTACTACATCTAAACATTTAACAAGGGAAGTAAGCGCAGATGGATTTCCTATCTTCGGATCCATAATTATGAACCGCTGTTACAGATCCTCGGCCCAAATTAAATGTTTTATCAACCGCCGTTATAGACCCGCGCCCCAGAATAAAATATATATTATGAACCGCCGTTATAGATCCGCGCCCAGAATTAAATATATATTTTATATTTAATGGCTGCATTCTTTTCCAGTTTGTTTCTGAATTCTCAATATCTGTATACAATTTCTGATATTATTAGCACATGAAATTATTGAGAGGGAGAGAGAGAGAGAGAGAGAGAAATGGGGTTTAACGTCCACTCGACACAAACTAGGTCATTTCAGGACCAACACATGATTCAATTTTATTTCAATAATTCACTGGCGCGTAGGGATCTTTAGCAGTGGGAGGAAACCGGAGGACCCGGAGAAAACCCACGAGGTTGGACAGGCGACCCTACTCCTTGTCGCGTACAACCGGGGAATCGATACCACGTCAGTTGGCTCAATGATAGACCTTCTGATGCAGCGTGCACACGCTAACCCTTCGCCCCCCCCCCTTTATTTAGGGTCAGTCTGTGTTATAACTCATATATACAGGGGCGGATCCAGGAGTTTTTCAGGAGGGGGTTTGCCAGGTTCCCGTGACAATGTATCGCGGGGTCCGGGTGGGTTCTCTCCTCCAGTCTTGAAAATGTTTGTCTATCGTCATTTTGGCGTATATCTGGGGTAACCAGAGGTCACATTGACAAACCACAGAAACTAAATACGTGTACCTACTACGCTACGTTTTATTTTTACTGATAAGCAACAAAATCAGTTCTGCTCGAATTTGACAGGAAACTTTAAAGGAGCTAAATCGCTAATATTTGGGACCTAGAAATTGACAAAAGTGGGTCGCAACGCATATAATACTGTAATATGAATGTATATAAACTGATTTACATTCAATGGTTTCCGTTTTTACTCCAATTTCAAATCAGTTATGTTCGGCGAAATAAGCCAGCAGTCTCAAGGGAGTGCAAATTTCTAGCGTCTGGTTATTCCAGTCTACATACGCCGTTTGATTTGGTGCAATGTGTCTAGCCTCGTCCCTCGAGTCTCTCGATACAACTGTGGCTGAAGCGCATTATGGTACACGATTCGTGTACCAATGGTAAAATGTTTATTTTGTCTTAAATATTGGATATCAAAAGCCCATCTTTTTCCGGTAAGATCACAACATGAATGTTGATTTAATTTGACAAATAATTCGTGTTTTCAATGTTGAGGAAACAAACTGGAAAAACAAAAACCGACTGCGACTAAATACGCCGCGGTACAGATAACTTGACGGGAGCCTAAAATAGGGTTTTGTACAATTACGGTATCACTCCAAATATTTATAATATATAGGGAAAAATAAGAAGTTATTAAGGAAATTTGACAATTGCCAATTCATGGTGCCATCATCGTCTCTAAATAACGTAGGCGTACTTATTACACAATACTGTGTTTTTAAAGAGAGAAATCTAACAACCCGTTTCAATTGAGATTCAATTTCATTGATGCAAAGCATTAAAGGACAATATTTGTGCCAGTCATTATAACATATCTGATAGAGCTGGCTAAACACATTCCAAATATAATTTTAACACAGAGATCATTGCTACGATAGCTGAGTAATACAGGTTTCCTGAATCGGAAGTGAGGAACGCCAAAGGAAAACACGAGTCATACTTCTATATAACTGATTGATGTGACGAGTGATAACAGATACACGGCCGAATTTCGGCTCACTAATAATTCCTTCCAAGACCATCCCTACGAGATTTTGCCGTGTGGCTTCCCCTTGTCAGTCATTAAAGACGGTGAAGGCCTGGCAAGGTACGTTGTCTAGTCCTTCGGATGGATTGACGTAGCTAGCCTACACATAAAAGAACTCGGAATTCGGTACGTGCTAACCAATCGGCCATTCAACCCCCCTTCAATCATGCCCTTCATTAATTCATGAACCATATCCGATGTGACTTAATCTGACATTTTGGATTCTAATGGTTACATTTTGTTATATTACAATATAAAAGGCGATTTTACCGCAGAGTAAAATAATGAAATAACGGTGCTTAATCCAGGGCATTTTTAATGTAATCTGTCAAAGCACTGAGACAAGGGGCAATTCCTAACGGTTGTCTCCCCCCGGAGCGCGAGGAAAATTTCGCATTTCGGCAAGGGCTAAAACTAAACGTTAAGGCCAGCTCCACTTTTGTCAAGGTCGCTGTTGACGAGATTGTAGGTTAGGGATATGGCAAGCATTGGGACTAGGACCAGGGTTAGGGTTGGGATTAGCGCTAGCCCTGTTTACATCTCGTGATCTATGACGAAAAATTGAGCTGGCCTTATCATTTAGCACTAACCTTTCGGCAAGTTTAGTGAAAGGAGCTAAATCGCTAATATTTGGGACCTAGAAATTGACACAAATGGGTCGCAACGCATATAATAATGTAATATGAATGTATATAAACTGATTTACTTTCAATCGTTTCTGTTTTACTGTAATTTCTAAACAGTTATGTTCGGCGAAATGCGCCAAAGTCTCAATTAAATGACAATCTTTAGCGTCTGGTTATTCCAGTCTACACCGATGGTATTTATTGCGCATGCTCTCGAGCTAAGAATATAGCGTCAATATTTGACACGACTTGTGGAATATGTCTAGCCACGTTCTTTGAGTCCCTTGTTCCAAATGACGCTGAAACGCATTATAAAATAAAACCAAGTACGAACAATCCAAACCATTAGACAAAATTCGAAGTCCTAAAAAAAACGGTATAGGCAAAATAGTGTAATAAGGCCAAATAGTGTAATCAGCATATGGACTGTTCACCGTGTACAAAATACACGACAAACTGTAGTAACAGGTGTCCGGAAGAGTAAGCTTACCCTGCCTGGCGCCACACCCGCCATAGCTGCACCCAAACTATCAGCCGAAATCTCGGTAAAATAGCATGATTGGCCAATGAACTATCGGTATGCAAAATGCACGTGATGAACAGTAGTAGACATTATCAGGGAGATAGTATACGCGTCAATTAAATATATCTAGAATAATAGCCGAGAGAGACATGTTATATTTACCAATCAAGTCAATATGACGGCCATAAAACTTTTTAAAGGTTTTAATAAGTTTAGTTCGCAAGTATCCCTGTAGTTGAAGCTTCGATGACAAATGCCTCGATCTACTTAAAAAATCAGAATAAAATGAACAAGCTCTCGCGTAACGAATTTGTTGGGACACAAACACTCCATAAGCTGGTGATATTGGAATGTTACTACTAATAAATGGAAAGTTAACAATCGGAAAGTCAAAGTCATCACGTTTATCGTACAATTTAACACTAAGTTTATGGCAATTGTAAAAATCGAGACGCAAATCCAAGTAGGAAGCGTAATTGTCACCGTCAGTAGTGTTTTTAATTTCGAGCTCATCAGGATATATGAATTCTACATAATCACTAAATTTTGGATTATTCAGTGATAGAACATCATCGATATATCGATAAGTGAAATTAAAATGTCTGACTAATCGTTTATTTGATTTTACAAGTGCCTGTATGTAATCGGCTTCGTAGGAATAGAGAAACAAATCAGCAAGCAAAGGTGCACAGTTGGTGCCCATGGGGATACCTACAACTTGCTGATAAATTTCCCCTCCAAATTCAACAAAGATATTATCAATTAAAAAATCCAACATCTGAATTATCTTGTTGGCGATGAATTTATTTTTGAAATCACTATGGTTCTTGACAAAATATGCGGAATTGTAATTAACAACTAAATATTGATATCTAACATTGTACCAATGGTAAAATGTTTATTTTGTCTTGAATATTGGATATCAGAAGCCCATCTTTTCCCTGTAAGATCACAAGACCAATGTTGATTTAAATTGACAAATAATTTGTGTTTTCAGTGTCGAAGATTTTTGATGATATTGAGTTAGAGACTTAGCTACTTTAAGTTTTGATCTTATGTTTACCGAAAAAGTTACTTTCCATTTCGCAATTAATTAGTTTAAAAAGCTCATGATTTTGATTTGACATATTCGGTATTGCTTTTTTATTTTTATTTTTTTTTTTTGCCTCACTACTTATGATAGTAAAAAGTGCCCTGACTTTATCTGATAACTTTTTTTTATCATGAATTCCGACGACATGAAATGTATTTCACCTTAATTTATTTGTTCTGGGTGGGGGCATTAATAATACTTAACATGGGTTACACTCTGTTTTGTTTTTTCTTAACCCCCCCCCCCCCCAAAAAAAAAACAACAAAAACAACAACAATTTCCTTATAGTTTCTATTTTTAGTTTCCTGGTCAGTTTTGCTATTGCAATCGATTTCTGGCGGGAAAGAGCAGGTGCGCGTTAAAAAGAGTTGTCTCCCTTGGTTCGGCTCCAGGAAGAGCTAATGAAAAGCGCCCTCTGTACTTGCATCCGAGTTTTGTTGCAGCAACTAGCGATTGAAATCGTTTAATATGAAACTGAATCGAGACTAATACCAATCCAAACTATAGCAGGTAAATTTATTGCATGCCAAAGATGTATTTTGCAAAAGTGCAAGCTCCAGACGTGGGGAGAGACTGTGAAATTTGATCAGACACATGAGAGTACTGTGCCCATGCAAAGGGACACAACTATCATGACTTATTTTTTGCTTAGGTCAAAGATTGTAAACAATTTCGTTTTACAATCAGTACGGTATACACTGTGACTAAATATGTTTAGGTTTGTTAAGTCAATTGTATTAAAAAGAAAGCTGTATTAATGTGCCAAATCAGATAAGCAAATGTCTTGAAAATTTTCTCCTTCAGCCACTTTGACTTTAGGAGACACGATGTCATGTCTCATACATGTATTACATATAATCATGGACCTTATAATACGAGGTCCATGATATAATACAATATAAAATTCGTGTTTGGCCGTTACAACTAAATTTTTGGGACATTATGACATGACCAAACTGTTTGGCCGTTATTATTGAAGTAGAACTGTTTTGACCAAACCTGTTTTTGGCCATTATGGCATGGCATAGGGCCGTCCCGGCCGTTATGACCACATCCCTGTTAAATTTATACACGTTAAAATGTGGGAGTCATTGATTGACCCGAGTGTCACCTCAGCCCTTCATGTTTATAAAATTGTGCGGGAGCCTTAAAAAGCTCCTGCCAATATCAAAAATGAGAAAAAAAACTCCCTTTTATATAAACTCTTCTTAATTATATGATGGAAGTGGATAAACGACCGGATTCGGTTCCTTACGAAAATTTACTACGAAACCGGATATCGTCTCTGATTGGCCAAGTTCACCATCTGGTTATTCTATCGCGATAGGTTCGGTTCTAACCCTAACCCTCGCTTTCTTGCATTTTCTAATGTCTGCGTATCTCTTCGCCAATATGTCACTTTATTCTTAAATTCAAATTGTTTCATCGCCTCTAAAAGTGAATTTAGAGTCGTAAATTTAGCACCAACAAGGATGCCTGTAGAGGCCGCCATATTGGAAAAGACCGCTAATAACCACATTATAAAATTGGCCAATCAGAGACGATATCCAGTTTTGTAGTAAATTTTCATCAGGAACCGAATCCGGTCGTTTATCCACTTCCATATATGATATTGCAAGAGTAATTCTACAACTCGAACGTATGCAGTTTAAAAATAAACAAAAACTGAAAGTAGTTTATTATTCCCAAAATTTAGGAGAGGGTTTAGCAAATTTGCAGGAGTCTTTAATGACACCCGCGAAGGAAAGTCGAGAGTTTACCTTAAACATGAAGGACTGTGTGCATAACTATATTAATGACATTTTTAACATTCAATTTCCGGCATTCATATTGTCAGAAGTATCTGAATTTAGGTTGTCAAAGTGAAATTTTATCACTCATTTATAAAACGGTACTGTCTTTTAAAACCGACATGACATCTTTAGTTTTATGTCAGTTGTCACTCAAGTTTTCCTACAATTTTATTTAATGATTTCTGTATGTAGGCCTACCTTCTGACATACATGTACGCCTAGCGATAAATAAAACATGGCCACTGGATTAGTTATATAAATCTGTGTGCTGAGGAGAACACTAGAGCGGAGACAATCTAGCATATATCGTCGGTGAAGTGTCAAAAGGGTGTATCTCGAGAAATTAGTCAAATACACGTTTTTGCATTTTTAAAATCTCCCAATTAATATGCACATTAAAACTGTTCTGGGTATCATGTGTCCAAATGTTGTATCTTGATTTGTGGAAATTTTGAAATGCAAAAGGTTCTATTTCTTAATCTTTTGAAATTCTTAGATACACATTTTGACACTTCACCGACGATATGACGTCATACATGCATGTGCTAGACTGTCTCCTATCTAGTGTTCTCCATCTGCTGAGCTATTCCAATTTCTCAATAAGGGCCTATCCATTTTATATGATCCTAAATTTAATATTGTTTTTATAATTTCAGAATTAAAGATGGAAGAAAAAGTATCTAATCACCCGTGTCACCGACTGAGTATTCCTTCAGCTAAGTTGTTCTGGTGTCGACATTGTATGCAATCATTCGAAGATCCTATAAATCGATGGAGACACAGTAAAACTTGTAAAACAATCGGTCCTTCCAATCACGATAAACGACTCGAACAGGAACCCTTTGCCTTACAGACTTACGTGGAGACTAAGGAGAAAGAAGTTGCCAGTCAACCCCAGCTTGTAGAAGGTATAGGTGGAGAACATGTGGTCATTATAAAGCAAGAAAAAAATGAGCCCAAATCTGAATACAGCTGTTTCATCTGTAAACGTCCCTTCGATAGTCTTGAGGACATGAAAGAACACGTAAAATACCCTTGTAGTAAACAACAGAATTCCGACTACCCCGTCTACATTCCTGGATCGGGGGGAACGTTTGTAGAAAATGCCAATCTTGACATGTACCCGAATTCTTCGCGACACCAGAGTCAAAGTTTATCCCCAAGAGGAATAATTCAACGACAGGTTGTTCAAGGAGAAATCGTTGAGCAGTCAGCTGATCCAGAGACAGGTGTACGAACCTTTGAAGTCCATTCTCAAAACGACGATATCCCTCTCAGCGATATTCTCTCTCGGTTATCAGAGAGTGGTTATTTGGTTGCTGGGGATGTTGAGTCTCCTGTCAATCAAATAATAGTTGTGCAGCAGGTGGATGAAAAGGGGCAGATAACTCAATCAGAACATATTTTACCTCCCCACATTCAGATACAGAATACTGAAGTTTCAAAGCCAGAGGATACAGTTGAAGGCGAAGAGCCGGCTGCTGAAGCACAAACTGATGATCCAAGTCCATCAGAAGAAATCACATACTATGTGACTGAGACAGGGGAACTAATAGAACCAGATTTCGTTCAAGTCAAACAGGAACCAAGACAAGATTTGTATTATGGAAGTTATGACAGTCAATCAGGCATGAACATATTAACACAAGCAGCGGAGGCGACCATCGGTAATTTAATTAATCAAGAAAAACGCAAAGCGGAAGAAGAACTTGAAGAAGAAGAGGAAAATATTAAAAGAAGTAGAACGCAATGTAAACCCGAGGAAGACACACCTTATCAACGCCCCCCTCATTCTCCCAGATCTCCAAGAGGAGCTGGAGGGGCATCATGGAGTGGTGCCACAACAGGGACGACAGGAATGACGTCAACTACAATTATCAAAACGGAACAAGGTTGTGACAATGGAAATGGAGAAGGAAAACAACAAAATTTAGACACAATCAATGATGAAAATCGGCCCAAATCTAGTGGTAGAAACAAAAAATCGTCAAAAACAAAGAAAAGAAGCAAATCTGAAAGTAAGAAACGTTGCTCGAGACCTGAAACACACGATTTCTTCAAATGTCGCATTTGTGACAAAACTTTTAAAACTCAGCAGCAGTTACAAAAACATTTGCAGTTTCCGTGTAAGGTTTTTCACACGCGGAATATGTGTCAAAAAATTCTTCGACCCAAACGAGGTGGTACAATTATTACGGGTAAGAATATTGATGTCAGGAAATCAAAACCTGTTAGCAACTTTTCGCAGTCAAAGTCCAAATCAAAATCAAAAATATTTCGAAAACCCATTCTTTTACTTGATGGCTTAAGGGTTTTGCCAAATCTTTTTAACGAAAGACGACAAAAACCGAAAACACAAAAGAAGAAAATTGTTCCCGTCTACACCATCACACCCCCTCGCATCAAAACAATATGGCTACCGAATAAACCCTCACTTATCGTAGATAATCTTACAGAGAAAGAACAGTTTTTGTTTGAGTTTGGTCTGGTTTCAAGGAGTCATCTCGTCTCAGACGAAATAATTCTGGATCAAAATGATTTACCTATAATTCCAGACATAAATGACGATAGATCCAAAAATTTGTTCGCCCCTCTTTCGATCTCCACTGATGCCCATTGCCTTGAAAATTCTCAATGTGTGAATGATTTATATTTCCTTCCCCCAGTATTAGAACGCATGGACGATAGCAGATGTCTGGATGACGAAGAATTGTCTGAGGAACCTCCTATATTAAGTCCAATACTGGATATTCAAGAAACAACACTTCACACTTCAGGCTCAGTAGGCTCACCCTCCGAGATCTCTAACTCAAGTATTTCTCATAACTTAAAAGAACCCAAATCATCAATCTCCGAAATCAAATCACCTTCAAAAACAAAATCTCCGAATCCCAAGCGTCATTTTACAGATCTTTTTGTTGAAGCGGCTCCCTCGACCGATCTCTTCATTTTAAATGAGAATCCAAATAAGAGAGACGTTACACGAAGAAACAGTGTGACAGAGAATAAACCCATGAAAGATATCTTGATGCAGAAAGATGTCATATCGAAACTAGCGGATACATTAAAGAAAAAACTATCTCCACAGAAAAACGTCAATTCTGCAGAAATCATAAATTCTGATTACTCTTTAAAACGTGATTCAGTGAAAAATAGAATTGATTTCATGAACAAGAAGGAAAACATCGCCTCAAACAACGGTGATTCACATGAAAATGAAAACCAGTCTGTTATTAGTCATGTTCAAGAGTCATGTGTTTTGAGCTCGCCCTGTAAAGGCAGAACAAGTTACACCACAGCTGTCCGTAAAATGAACAAACCTAAAACCTTTGTATTACCCATTATGAAAACGAATCCCCTAAACTCTCCGACTAAAATCAACGTAGTTATTTATAAGCAACGGTCGGAAACAAAGTCGTCGGAGATGACACGTAACGGTATCCACTCTCACCGCGTTGCTAATCGTTGTAATATATGGGAAGATGTTGGGTCTAACAATTCAGGGTTGATTACAGATGAAGAAAATACCAAGTTACTAATGGTAAAAAATATAGAATATGTTGAACCAGAAGTGAAAAGATGTCTTGATGCCATGGTTGAAGAAATTTCAGCTTTTCCGGAAGACATTGCTCAAAATGAAACTAAACCATCATTTGGTATAGATTCTGATGAAATCTGCAATATTTTATGTTCAGTTGACATGACAACCAGTGATCTCCATGACAACAAACAAGTCGTACATGTCCTTAAAAAATCTGAAGCAAATGCTGAATGTGTGACAAATGCATCTGAATGTTGTAAGGAACAAAATGATATTTCCGTATCTCAAGAAAAATCTGATGTTGTGAGTAGTCCTGATGATATCAAACCCTCATCATTACCAAAAGTCATTTGTAATCTTTTTAAAAAGGATAATCAACAAAAGACGGACTTAAATTCAAAGACAAATGACTCACTTAATTTTAATTTTATGCCTTTTTCAAAATATTTGTATGATGAAGGCATCGTTGAAGATATTTCCGATTCTAAATCTGCTAATGACATTTGGGGGAAACATTTGCTGGAGAAAACTTCTGCAAAACGCGTTCCAAAGGTCATGGTTCAGTACATGGAGCATGTTGAACCTTCGTTATTGTCTGATAAACTCTCGTATGTCATGGTAGACGAATTTAACAGGCGTGGTGTACCTAGTAGTCCAGATTTTTTAATGCATAAGATATCTCTGTGTGAAGAAGAAATTGTTTTATCCGATTCAGGACTGGATGATAGTGATGAAATGTTGCCCAGTTTGGAAAAAGACACAATTGTCCAGACTATTCAATGCTAGTCACATATGGTGCATATATTTTAATTTGTGACATGTGGAACTTCAAAGAAATTGATTAATTGTACTGAATTAATTGATTGTTTAATTATAAATTGATTATTTAATTAATTGATTATTTAAGTAATTGATTATTTAAGTAATTGGTTATTTAAGTAATTGGTTATTTAAGTAATTGGTTATTTAAGTAATTGGTTATTTAAGTAATTGATTATAAGTTGAATATTTAAACATACATTATGGAAGAGCTAAATCTACCTACACGTATCTTTCTTTAGACCTGAAATGTTATATAAATTATTAATTAGGCATATATATTAACATAAAAAGACTTCAATGCCATCGGATATCTCCGATATTAAGCAGATTAGAACGGTTCAGCCATGTTTTGATTTAATTTAAAATTGGAGAAGTGAGACTTGGCTTCAAACAACCAGGATGTCAGTTGCATCTTGTCAAACCTTCAAAAGCTAATATCTTCTCTCATAATAGAGTAATGTGAATGAAATTTTCAATATATTCATTTTACATTATCAATTTTTGAACCATTATAGCAAGAATAGCTAGCTCTTTATCTAAATCTTACATAATGTATCTTTTATTAAAATTGAATATTTAATTATAAATTGAATATTTAATTATAAATTGAATATTTAATTATAAACTGAATATTTAATTATAAATTGAATATTTAATTATAAATTGAATATTTAATTATAAACTGAATATTTAATTATAATATAAATTGAATATTTAATTATAATATAAATTGAATATTTAATTATAAGTTGAATATTTAATTATGAAATGAATATTTAATTATAAATTGAATATTTAATTATAAACTGAATATTTAATTATAATATAAATTGAATATTTAATTATAAATTGAATATTTAATTATAAATTGAATATTTAAGTATAAATTGAATATTTAGTTACAAATTGAATATTTAATTACAAATTGAATATTTAGTTACAAATTGAATATTTAGTTACAAATTGAATATTTGATTATAATTGAATATTTAATTATAAATTGAATATTTAATTACAAATTGAATATTTAATTTAAAACTAATCAACTCCTTATGATATAAGATTAGTTAGATATAATGTATGGTATTTATTGTTTCTATTGCATCCATTAAAAAAACAACAATCTGTTTGATAATTTTATCTGACAAGTTAAATTGTTATTTGTAATGCATGTGGTGGAGACAATAGTAAACTAAATACATGTAATAATATATAAATATTGGTGTTATGTGGGAATGAAACATATATAACTTATTGTTCATTGAATTCAGATCCCTGGATTACAATGTTTGCTAGGTCAGGATGGTTTGATATTTTAGAGAGTGGTTTAAACTATAAATTTAGAGTGGGGCATACAATACATATGTTATGGAGTTGAAAACAAGCAAAAGCTTCTAAATTCATTTCCACTTCCAGAGAAGGAATTTGGTTCTTTTATTTGCTACCTAATGCTAATGTTTTTTATTTTCTCTTTCCAAGGTACTGACATACACCCAGTACCCCCATAAAATGTCTTTTATTCAATTAGTTCAGATGCATGTATGTAATCAAAGTATGTCCATTTCTAACAATATAACTTTACAGGATAATATGAAGATGTGTTGATCTTTTGCAAAATGAAAAAATTTAAATTACCGTTGATATTATTTATAGGGAAGGAGAATGCTTGATCGTTGATCCTATTGTGAAATTCATGGTTTTCACTATGTGAAATGTAGCCCATGTGAATGATTCAGATTTTTTGGGAGTTATAATTTTGGAAATTAACTGTTATATTTATTATTTATGTTTGTGGTTTGATCAAAGTTGAATGGTGCATGGAGAATTTTTGTTTTGAGATTTGATAAAGTTCAGATGATTGAATGAAAAATAGAAACTCCTTTCATCTTGTGATTTATAATCCATGATGTGCAGTCAAATATTTATATTAAAAGTTTCTGGCCCTTATTCAAGAAAACTTCAAAGAATACAGCCTTTTTGTAAAGCGGTGGACACATTAGCCGAATCATTTGGCCAAATCAATTGACGCTGATTTGTATTAGGCCAAATGGGTGGACACACTAGACAAATGCTTCCCCTGAATCATTCGGCTAGTGTGTCCACCGCATTAGCCAAAACCTTAAAGTTTTGCATGATCAGTATTCGTGACACAAGTTTTCAAGATTAATGCCCTTGTCATGTTGTTAGCGATTTGTTGTTTAGTGATTTAGAAGTGAATATTTCGTAATTTGGTTGATAAAAGTTTTAAATTGCATTTGTCATTTCTAGTTGTAAAGATTAGTGTTCAAGTTACATCATGTTTCTAGTGATTTATTGTTTCCATGGTGATATATGTTTATGTTGTTTCCATGGTGATATATGTTTATGTTGTTTCCATGGTGATATATATATGTTCATGTTGATGGTTTATTTCACTAGAGTTATTTTCAAACAGTGCTGTAAAAAGCTTTTATTAAAATAATTATATTATACAAAGAGATGCCTGCTTTCTTTCTTTCTTTATTTTAATTCAATCTAATATTTAAAGGACAATATTGGTGCCAGTCATTATCACATATGTGAGAGCTGGTTAAACACATTCCAAATATATTTTTAACACAGATCATTGCTACGATAGCTGAGTAATACAGGTTTCCTGAATCGGAAAACACGAGTCATGCCTCCATATAACTGACTGATGTGACGAGTGATAACATATACACGGCCGAATTTCTGCTCACTAATAATTCATTCGAAGATCAAAAGTTGTTGTGTGAGATTGTGAGAGGATATCTGACAATTCTTATAAAGAATTGACTGCCACTAGATAAGAGAACACAAAAGAAAAACAGAAAAAGTCCGTGCATTACCATGTTTTTATAAGGTATAGAATGATTATAAACAAGGGAATGTACGGACTATTTCTATTTTTCCCGTCTTCTCTTATCTAATGACATTCAATTACTTTATTGAATTGCCAGGTATCCTCTTACAGTCCCATATAACAACTTTTGATCTTGGAAGGAATTATTAGTGAGCAGAAATTCGTCCGTGTATCTGTTATCACTCGTCACATAAACCACATGTCTGTGCAATTTTTCCCTTAATTTTTTTCTCCCCACTTCCTGCATTTTCTTAGTTGACTTTTTGGTCTAGAATTGGAGAAAAGGGATCAAATTTGCAATTTATAGCAGTTTTGGGTAATACTGATGATATTACAGCGGAGGGAAAGGGGGTGCAAAGTGTCTTTCTGCAGAGCAATTATTGTGTTGGACTTGGAAGTGAGATTTTGACCCCAATCAATCAAATCCTGGTAGCAAAAAATCTAAACGGTCAACCCCTCAAAAATTATGATGTGCCTATAAAGATTGAAACCAACGGAATGTTGAGCAAAAAGCTACAGCCTGTGATGTTACAGCCATTTAACATTGAAGTCGATGGACAAAAATTGCTAGTCTGAGCTCATTTGGACTAAGACTAGTAATTATTTCCCCTTATTTCATGATGGATGAATGTAGTGTGAGTTATAAATAGACAATTTTTCCCTTAATTTTTTCTCTCCCCTCTTCCTGCATTTTTAGGTTGACTTTTTGGTCTAGAATTGGAGAAACGGGATCAAATTTGCAATTTCATAGCAGTTTTGGGTAATAATGATGATATTGCAGCGAGGGATAGGGGATGTAAAGTGTCTTTCTGCAGAGCAATCATTGTTTCGGAAGTGAGATTTTCACCCCTGTCAACATCAAATCCCTGTAGCAAAAATTCTAAATGGTCAACCCCCTACAAATTTATGATGAGGATATTGCCAAATGTGGTCCCCATTGTGCCTATAAAGATTGAAGCCAACGGAATGTTGAGCAAATAGCTACAGCCTGTGATGTTACAGCCATTTAACATTGAAGTCAATGGGCAAATAATTGCTAGTCTGAGACCATTTTTCTTAGACGGAGTTGCGTCCCTTTTATGGAACTCTTCATAGGAACGGACTTTGTTTACAAATGGCCGACCTCTCTCATAATTTTTGTGTTTTTTGTTATTGAACTTTGTTATGAAGAATATACTAGTTAGATTAGAAATATGCGTATAATTTTGGTCCTATTGGCAGTAAAAAATGTAGATTTATGAAATTGATTTGATAATCATCTGACAGGCAAGTACTAGTAGATAATAAATTTTAGTTCCAATAATAGGCCTAACTAAGTATAACATTTTTTACTTTATACCTGCTGAAAATTCTTTTTTTTAACAGTTAAATCCTGTTTTACGAACCCTCAAACACTTTTAATAATTTATAGCCCTTTTTTTTGTTTTTAATTCAGTTAATTTAATATTGTCCATAATTTTGAATTTGATTTAAGGTAAAGATGAGTTTGTAGAATATAATTTATAAATATACCGGTAGCCTAAAGTTCAATGACATGAAATGGAGTTATTAAATTAATGCCCTACTTTTCTGTTCCATCGTGGTGTTAATGAAGATGGGTATACGCCATCCAGTGTGCTATAAGGGAAATTTCTTCCCATCCAAATGACTAGACGCTGTCCTTGCCAGGCCCTCCATCCTCAGGTAAAGAGCATGAAAATCTACAGAAATTTTCTTAGCCACCACCAGGAATCTGGCTAGCAAGCCAGCACCTAGTAATATATCGTATTAATTATGTGAACACTAGCAGATTAGGGAGTAGATGTAAATTCTGTGAGGAACCATGGTGCCTAAGTGTGTAAGACGCTGGCTCGCTAGCCTGGAGGTTGCGTTTTTCGATCCCTGCATTGGCTGAGAAAGTTCATCTGGAGTTTCCCTTTGTCAGTGGTGCGGAACGGAGGGCCTGACAAGGACAGTTGTCTAGTCATTCGGATGGGACAAAAAACAGGTCCCATGTATACATTGGCGTGCACGTAAAAGATCCCTTGGCAGTTTGGATACTATATAAGAGTAGGCCATAGTGCTGCTGCCCGGGCAGAATTTCCCTCGTTGCACACTGTATGTGGTATGCCAGTCTTCATTAGCCCAGTCAGAGCAGAACAGTAGGATGTTCGGTTAAACCCAATTTCATTTCATGTAAATTCTGTCCTTTGGCAATTTATGGATTGATAATCAAGAATCTATAAGTGTGGACCAATAAGATACTGTTATATTTTATTTTTCTGATTCATTACGGCCCAAAATATATTTATATTAATTGTTTTTTTAAAATTCAGCTTTCAGGTTTTGTGTCTAGGTGTGAAACGAAAAAACCCAAAAAAACATCATGTCTTTAAGAACTAGAATACGAGGCTTTACTGCCTGGGTAAACCTCCGTATCATGCCTTATAACCATCTAATGAATAATGTGTTAATGGACTTGTTGACAGGGACTAGCATGAAATATTTGATAGAAAGTTTTACTGGACGGGATTTAAAGAGACTGGAGAGTTTCGATGGGTAAGTTTAAAAATAGAATTCAGAGAAACTGATCAAATGTCTTAATCGAGTTCCCAGTAAGATATATCAGTTAAAGTTTCTCCAGGTAGACTGTTCTTGTTTGACAGCAATGATGAACAGTAAGTTTACCTTTGTCACCTTTGAGCTAGTGAAACAACTGAACTTGTCAGCTGTGATAAGGGAATGCTGGACTTGATGGACCTTCTCTTCTAGGCTGGGAATGTAACCTAATAGTACATGCAGGAGAAATGCACCACCACTCACCAATCTGATTTACAGATCTATATTTCATTTCGTTTTTTATACTTTCGATGGCCTACCCTACATGAAGATCTGATCAGTTGTTTTGGGAGGTCGCGTCAGAAGTCATACAAGCAGCTTTTGACCCTATGACATCAGCAGACATTTGATTAACCAATCAGCATTGATGTTTCTAGTCAATTACCTACAGTTCTGTGCTCTTCACCCCCAAAGCTCGTTGTAACAGATTGTTTCTTTGGCTAATCCCTCACATCATCCAGAACACGTCAATGATAACAACTCTTCCAGATCCTAGTGTAGGAAAGAGAAATAAAATGAAATTTTGAACTATAAAAACGAAACGAAATAGGATCTGTGTTTAAATCAGATTGCACCACCACTCACATCACAAAGATATTGCAAACAATAAACAACGAAAGTACTGTCAAATAAAGTGAATGTGCCCGGGTCCCAGCACATTACTCTGAGTTCCCTCATAGCATACTGTATGGCGTATGCCCGTCTTTATTAGCCCAGTTCGGAGCAGAACAGTAGGACGTTAAACCCCATTTCATTTCATTTCCTTTCTCTGAGTTCTAAAACAACTTTAAGATTTCTCAGGTGGTTGGGTGGTGGTTGAATATTTTAAAGCATTACTGACCACAGGTATGTCGCAGATGCAAGTCGTGAGTTCGATTCCACTGCTACATTTTCAAATTCAGATTGAAAATGCATCTGTTCATACAAAACTATGGATGAAATGGGACCAAAATATATAACTTCGCAAGCTCATTTAGAACTCCTATTTCGTACTTATAGCACCATATGAGTTTCGTTGTTATATATGTTATGTTATAATGAAATAACAAATATACGATATAAGTCCCAATCAAAATTGCTTTAATTAAACATACATTATGCAAGAGCTAAATCTGTCTATTGCAGGTCTTTCTTTAGGCCTGAAATGTTATCTAAATTATTAATTAGACATTAATTAACTTATCCAGACCATAATCAACTCTCGATGGCATCGCTAGGCTGCGATGTTTATTGGATTAGGTTCTGATTTGCTGTTCGACTTCCATTCATAATTAAATCATGAAATGGATAATCAAGACTGTTTTTTATCCTACCGACTTTAGTAATGATGTGATCGAGGCTAGGTCGAAAATTCAAACGCTAAAATCTCGGTTCATAGTGGATCAATTGGACTGAAATTTTCAGCAAATCCCCTTTACAGTATCTAGTTTTTAACTGTTATAGTGAGAACTGCCAGCTCTTTATCCAATCTCCCATAATGTATCTTTAATGATTTAGCATTTTCCGTATTATACCTTGACAGATTGACAGCTCAGCAGAAACAGACAAGAGTTGATTGGATTGTCGATGAATTAAAGAAATGTAATGTCATACCTGATGATGTTAAAATAGATGCCAGATTATTCGCTATGAGAAGTGCTGATCATGTAAGAATTTCACATAAAAGTTTATGTTTTATTATCCGAATAGTGGAAACCGCGGTGGCTTCGTGAGTAAGAATCTTGCTCGCTATCCTGGAGGTTTCGGGTTCGCTCCCGGTGTTGACTGAGAGAGTTTATCGGTGGTTTCCCCTTGTCAGTGGAGCAAGACAGAGGACATGACAAGGGCAGTTGTCTAGTAGTTCTTATGGGACAAAACACTGAGGTATCTTGTACACAGTGCCATGCACATAAAAGATCTCTTGCCAGTTTTGATATTATGAAATTAATTGTTACTTTTTTGTACCAGCTGGTGGGCTAATAAAAACAGGGAAAATTTGCCCAGGCAGTGCTATCTGATTAATGTGCTTCCACCATACTCATCTATGAAGGTCAATCAACCATGATATATTTTATGTAATTATAGGTGTTTGATTTATTATGGAGGTCAATCAACCACGATATATTTTATGTAATTATAGGTGTTTGATTTATTATGGAGGTTAATCAGCCATGATATATGGTTTGTTTGGGAAAGAGCAGAGTTTCTACAACACGATGATGTTGATATTTTAACACAAGTTCCTTTTAAGGTTAGTTTATTTTATCTTGGTCATAAAATCATTAAATTATACGTCTTATACTTAAAACTGCGTATAAACGAAATGAACTGTTCTCCACAAACTGGACAAATGCAGACAGGTGACATGTTAAACGCTTTTCCTTGCCAGATTCTCCATCCAACACAACTGACAAAAACTACACTGGGAAATAGTGCTGGGTATTGCCGCTGTAGTCACCATACGATATGTATTGCGATTCAGGTGCTACGATAAGATTCGCATCATGATTCGTAACCAGGTCAATATTTACCAAGAAAACAACAGGATAAATGAATAATTAATATGTTTAGTCCTGCTGATATTGAAGAAATAAAACTGTTTAATATCACGATATTGATGTAGATCAAAATAAGGACCGAAACAATTTAATATTGTTTGTGTACCCTATGGATAAAGTTTGATGTGGATAATTAAAAGTGACAGTTTAATTACTGAAGCGATAAAAAAAGCATAAAAGAGAATCGTGATACATTGAATCAGCATCTTGGGATTCAATACGCGAATCGTGAGAAGGTCAATCGCAATACATCGATTCAATGATATATCGTGCCAGCACTACTGGAAAATCCAGGGAACTTTTTTTGTTTAATTCAAGGATTAAACCTATACACACTGAGCCACATAGACTGTAACCTGGGTATCATTTAATCTTGTGTATCCAGCACTAATTTCTTTCACATTCGTTTAATAGCAAATATTTGTTTAAAATTCGTAAAAAACGTTTAAAATCACCTAAAATCATTTAATTTGTACTTGTTTCCAGTTTAAAGCTGACCATTTAATTTTGATAATAAGTGTCCAATTTACAAACGTTTAATTTCTCGATAAACAACCCAATTGATTAATGATGTATAATGATTAATTTTTGAACCGTGGTCAGGAAATTAAATACTTGTAAATTGAACACTCATTATCAATATTAATTAGTCAGCTTTTAACTGGACACGAGTACAAATTAGATGATTTTGGGTGATTTTAATTTTTTAAATGATTTTTAGGAATTTTTAAACAAAGATTTGATAATAAACGAATGAGAAAGAAATTAGTGCTAGATACACAAGATTAAATGATAAACAGGTTACAGTGATATTCTTGAAGCAATGACCTGATAATTCCTCTCTAGCCATTGCTGTATTCACAACCAAATATTATATTTATAATTACAGTGGACTCCAGACCCACCTCCTGCTAAGAAAAAGAAGAAATCAAAAACGAAGAAATCTCTGTTAACTGGTTTTGGCTCAGCTTCACTTGTGGAAGATAAAAGTGCTGGTAATGATACTCCGGTAAGTTTAATGATATTGTACACATTGTCGTGATGTTTATGACATATTTAAACACACATTACACAATCAAGCCATAAAATAACTGTCTGTTATTATGTTTGGCTGGACATTTTAGATTTTCAGCCGGGCAAATACTTTATGTATATAAATTAATTTTATACCAAAAAAACCTGTTGAAATTTACTATGTTTAATCTTTATTATGATACCGTTTTTTTTGGGTACAAGTCAATACTTATTTCTGCAAAAGTCATGCCTTCGTCTTATACTTCACATCCACTTATAGATGCAGATAAAATAAAATTACAATCCGAAAAATAATTTAAATTATCAAAATTGTAAGTAGTACGATAGCAGTAAATTCAAACATTTGCTATCGTCTAGAACTACTTACAGTATTCCAATACAAATACTTGTCGACATTTCTAAATATATGTAGCTTGTATAACTTGTATTTAAAAACACAACCCCATTCAATATATGATCATAAACGCTACAAAACTCCATCAAAATAAATTTTTCTTTCAACATTATTCATTTGTAAATTTTGTTTATGCCATCTCTTGTTATTTCTTGTGTCTTGCGAGTTGCGAGAGTTCTACTTTAGTTTTCTGTTAAATTAAACAATCATGCAAAGGCGCCAGCAATTTTTGATAACATTCATCGTAATTCGTGCGATCACAAACAGCGTGCCTATTGTCTTATATTTAGCGGATCTCTTGAAATAAAAACTGGTTCAAATGAACCAAGAACAAAACTTTGAATATTACTTAAACATACATTATGCAAGAGCTAAATCTGTCTTATTGCAGGTCTTTCTTTAGGCCTGAAATGTTTTCTAAATTATTAATTAGACATTAATTAACCTATCCAGGCCATAATCAACTCTAGATGGCAGCGCTAGCCTGCGATCTTTAGTGGATTGTGAGCCGATTTACTGCATAGCTTTCCTTCTCGATTTAACGATTAAATAGATAATCAAGACTATGCTGTTTATTGTACTGACTTTAGTAATGATGACTGAGGCTAGGGGGAAATTTCAGTCGCTTAGTTCTCAGTTCATAGTGGATCAATTTGAATGAAATTTTCAGCAAATTACCTTTACATTATCTAGTTTTTAACTATTATAGTGAGAACGGCCAACTCGTTACCGAATCTCCCATGATATATCTTTAGGTTAGTCCTACATTTATAAACTGATTATTTTACATGAATTAATATTATGAGGCAAGTCATAGAAATCACAATAACAAATATTTATAGCTTAGTATAGTGTACAGAGTACAGACATAAATTAGCATAGGGCCCCTACTCGTTCAATACCTGATGGGCAGTTGCCCATACATTAATTTACAACTACCCTGGAATAAAGACCAGGTGTTTTAAATTATTTTCTGCAGGAAGAACCAGAAGAGGAATGGATACAATATCCGCGAGCAGATTTCATGAAAAATTTCAAGAAGAAGCGAAGAGATCTAGGGAAATATCCGAGTCCCGATCACTGTATTTTAGAGATGGTCAATTCACAACTAAAGGTAAACATAACCTGTCCCTTCAACTTTATATCATAAGGTCTGTCATTGATTCAAGTGGTATGATTTTGATTCCCTGTTTTTACGTGACAAGGAGTATTGTCTCTTGTCCGTACTTGCAAGTAGGAGTATTGTCTCTTTTTCCTACTTGCAAGTGAATTATTGAAATAAAATTGAATTATATGTTAGTCTTGAAATGACCTAGTTTGTGTCTGCACGAGACAAGGAGTAGGGTCGCTTGTCCCTACATGCCAGTGAATTATTGAAATAAAATTGAATTATATGTTAGTCACAAAACGAACTATACTAATGTCCAAAAGAAAGTATACACTGTGCATTTTGTGCTGCATCAACCGAAGTCGTTTTTCCATGGTATACAGTATTTGGGTAGAATGTCAATTTGTTTAACATTTTTATTTTACTTAGAAATGTTGAGTTTGGACGCAAGAGACAAACTCAGTAATGCTTCATCAAATGCTTTTAATCTAAACAAAACTTAGTCATACTTTTAGTGTGTATACTTTCTTTTGAACATCAGTATAGTTAAGCGGATGTTAGATACATGAATGAATCATGTCACTGTTTAAGGCTGAAGGGGGTGTACTCACACTGGCCAGGGTTGCCATGTTGTGACATTGCAAGGGCCCTCTGCATCTGACTGCATATTTGGCCTAATTTTAATGTTGTCACTTATATATTGGGGTGGGGGGGTGAGTGGCCGAATGTTTACCATGTGCATGTTGCATCATAAGGTCTGTCATTGAGTTAACTCCAGGTCCACCAGATTCCTCCCACTGCTAAAGACTCCTACACGCAAGCGAATTATTGACATATAAATGATCCATGTTTTAGTCCCATAATGACCTAGTTTGTGTCAAGTAGACATTAAACTCCATTTCTCTCTCTATATATTGGAGAAGAAATATAAAATTGATGTTATCAATTGTTAAGGGAAAGAGTCCTCTAACAATCTTTGCACGCTTTCCTGTTGCAAATTAAGCTTCTGAAAAAAATTCAACCAAAAAATAAAAATATTTAGTACATTTTGGATTAATACATTGTAAATATTTTTTTTAAACAGAAAACCAAAGAAGGAAGAAATTTATATTGCTATGTAAGTACAATTATTTATATTGTTCATTTGTTACATCAGATAAGTTGAAATATTTTATCGACTTGTCAAATCAATTTGAATTTAGTGGAGATGTCATGTGACAGTATAGTTGATTAAAAAAGTACTTTGATGAGTTCACTAAATGTGCCAATTAGCTGTAAACAATTCCTGTAGCTGGACATAAAGGTGATTTGGCGATTTGTGGTAATCGCTTCGGATATCGGTGTCTGTAAATTCATGGATTAGGGATTTGAATTAGATGAAACTTTGACTAATCAGTGGTTGATAAAAACGTGTTTACCATTTAATGACTTCGTAAGACAGACACTGACTCATCAACCAGGAGGTATGGAGTTGGTCAAGGAAGTTCCCTGTAATTTTACACAGTGGTTTCCCTTGACAAGGACAATGGTGTGAAAACCGATGTCTCATTTAGACGTTGACGTGCACGTAAAAGAACCCTGACAGTTGAAATTCAATGTAAGAGAAGGTCTGACAAAATTTCCCTCATAGCACACTGTATGGCGTTAGCCTGTCTTTATTAACCCAATTGGAGCAGAAGAGTAGGACGTTAAACCCTATTTCATTTCATTTCAGTTTGGTTTTTTAGACAATAGATGTTTTGGTGGATATTTGAGTTTTTTATCATCAAATATTAAACATACATTATGCAAGAGCTAAATTTGCCTATTGCAGGTCTTTATATAAATTATTAATTAGACATTAATTAACTTATCCAGACCATAATCAACTCTTGATGTCATCGCTAGCCTGCGATATTTACTGGATTAGGATCCAATCTGCTGCTCTACGCTCATTCATGATAATGGATAATCAAGACTATGTATTTTATCGTACCGACTTTAGTAACGATGATCGGGGTTAGGCCCAAAATTCAATAACTAAATTCTCGGTTCAGAGTGGATCAATTTTACTGAAATTTTCAGCAAATTCCCATAACATTATCTATTTTTAAACTATTATAGTGAGGCCTGCCAACTCTTTATCTAATCTCCCATAATGTCCCTTTAAATAATTGTTTGTATTATTTGTTTTAGACGATTGATGATTTAGTTGATAGTCGAGTTCTCTGTGCTCTCGTTAATTCTTTTGTACCAAATACATTTACTGCTGATCTACTTTTAAACGACAGGTATGGTATCGTAGTTTTAACTAGCTTCGTTTTTAAGTTTTGACGGATTAGCAAAAAAACTGACTGGCTAGGAGCAGCTATGTCTTGAAGAAAATATAGCCACAGACAGTAGCTAATCGGAGCTACGATGGCTAAGTGGGTAAGACGCTGACTCGCTAGCCTGGAAGTCGGGTGTTCGATCCCTGCATTGGCCGAGAAAGTTCCTCCGGATTTTCAGACGTGGATTTTCCCTTGTCAGTGGTGCAGGACGGAATGCTGTCTAGTTGTTTGGATGGTATAAAAAAAGAGGTCTCATGTACACGTAAAAGATCCCTTGGCAGTTGGAATTTGATTTATGAGTAGGCCATGATGCCGCTGTCCGGCAAAATTTCCCTCATAGCACACTGTATGGCATATGCCCGTCTTCATTAGCCCAGTCAGAGCAGAACAGTAGGACATTAAACCCTCATTTCATTGCTGACGTATTGAGTGTTCAGTAGCTAAACTTAAATGTTGATCAAATCTGATTGTCGCAGAACAAAGAAAATCAATAGGATTGTCGTAACTGCAGTGTTTGACACCTAATTTGGAAATTAACCATAAAACACAACGAATACAGTTAAGTTTTTTTGTTATGCTTAAATACAATCTGATTGAATTACAGATGTATATTTTGTTTCATTTTTTAATACTATCGATGGTCTATACTACATGAAGATCTGACTGGTTGTACTGGAAGATCGCGTCAGAGGTCATACGATCGGCTTTTGACCTTATGACGTCTGACACCTGATTAACCAATCAGCGTTGATGTTTCTAGTGGGTTACCCACAGTTCCATGCACCTCACAACAAAACTTGCCGTAACAGACCGTTTTATTGGCTAATCCCTCACATCATCCAGAACACGGGTTATATAATAACTCTTCCAGATCCTAGTTTAGTAAAGACAAGTAAAACAAAATTTTGAACTATAAAAAATGAAACGAAATAGGATCTGTGTTTTGTTTTTTTTTATGTGTAAATAATTATCATATTCTTTATAAAAAGTATCTTGCTTATCCAAGTTACCCAGTTGTCGAATGGTTAAAAAGATTGTGGTTATCCAAGTTACCTAGTTGTCGAAGGGTTTAAAGTATCTTGCTTATCCAAGTTACCCAGATGTCGAATGGTTAAAATGTAATAAGTTATATATTTATTTCAGATGGACAATAAATCTAGTTTTACGAATAGCTGAACAGATGTTTTATATAGAAACACCATTTGATTCAGAAGATCTAGTTGATGTAAGTTTATCACCCTTTTACTAATAAAAAACCTGAGAAAATATACTATCTAATTCTAAAGTTCACCTAGCATACCTGTTACATTGAAGCCCAGATTTTTTTAAGGGGCATGCTTACTGGGCTGCACCCAGGGGACCCAATATTAAATCGGGCCCCCAAATTAGTTCTGAAAAAATAATTTATGATTTTATTTATTATGTTGTATTATGTTTATGCCAAATAAATCTATCAATATTGTACCATAGGCCCTACTGACATACAAATTACATTTTTGTGAGTGTGACAGATAATAACCTGGATATGCTGCCTTTTCATTGTTGATGCAAGGGCCCCAGTGACCCCAGTGACATTTTCAGCCAGGGGTTCCATGCAAGCTTAATCTGACCCTGGTTACACAGGCTTAGAACTAATGGTTTTACCTGTACTTGACACTACTGCACTAGAACCTGGCTTTACTGCACTAGAAACTGACACCAGCATATTTATTATGCTTAAAAATTTTAAATATTTATTTTGTCAATATATATATATATTTATTTTTAGGCTGATCCAATGGCTGTGTGTAGTTATTTTTGTTTTTTCTTTATGTGTGCCTATAAATACAGACAATCTAAAGCAGTTGTCAACAGAATCGTAAGTTTTTAAACATTTTACAATCTTAATTATTTGAGTACATGTATTTAAGTAAACTAATTGTAATTATATTGTTTTGTTGAAGGGAGAGGGGTGACATAGGCCTAGCCTGTTCCCCAATCCTATTCTTATTGAATAAAATATAGTTTTAAAAAAAATGTTTTTAGAGTATGTGTAGAACGACATTGCACCACCTTGATTTGATATTGGGGGGGGGGGGGCGAATGGATTAATGCATGTGTTTTATATCATTAGCTCTGTCATTGAGTTAAGTCCTGTGGTTTTGATATCCCACATGTACGTGACAAGGATTAGGGTCGCCTGTCCAACCTCGTAGATTTCCTCTGAACCCTCTGGTTTTCTCCCACTGCTTCAGAACCCTACCAACAAGTGAATTACTGAAATAAAAGTGAACCATATGTTAGTCCCAAAATGACTTAGTTTGTGTCGATTGGACCTCTCTCTCTCCCTCTCTACCCCCTCTCCCCCTCTCTCTCTCCATCTCTCTCTCCTCTCTCTCTCTCTCTCTCATTGTTCACATTATAATACCATATGTTAGTCCCAGATGTTAAACATCATTCTGTTATATTTAATTTAGGACTGGATAAAGAAGTTAATGAGAGAATGTAATCATGTATTAAGTAAATTACCCGAACCTCCTATTGATCCACTTGATATACAGAAGAAAAAAGACATGACAACAGAGACTTGTCGTCATAGAGATGGTAAGGTTATTTACACAGAATCTTATAGTCACAGAGTGTGATACTAACAATATTTGATGTTGATTTTAATTTAAAAGATTTCTTTATACATTGCCCACAGACCATTTGATAAATATTTAAGATCATTTAATAAATTTAATCTTTGTATGCCATTTAGCGATTGAACGTAATATAACACAACATAGTTCTGTGGATAACAGTCACTATATTATATACACACGACATTTCAACAAGAATTCACTGGTTGTTATTAAGTAGCGGGAGGTTAAATGGTTAGCGCGTGTGCATTGTATTATAAGGTCTGTCATTGAGTCAACTGGCATGGTTTTGATTCCCCAGTTGTACGTGACAAGGAGTAGGGTCGTCTGTCCCACCTCGTGGGTTTTCTCCAGGTTCCCCCTGATTTCCTCCCACGGCGAAAGACCCCCACACGCAAGCAAATTATTGAAATAAAATTAAAATGAAATGAAATGGAGTTTAATGTTCTACTGTTATGTTTGTTCCGATATGACCTGCCATGTGTCGAGTGGACAATAAACCCTCTCTCTCTCTCTCTCTCTCTCTCTGTTATCAAGTATACAAATGAGGAAAAATGCAAGATAAAGACCAGTGAAATCTTGTTGAAATGCGTATATAATATAGTGATTGTTATCCATAGAGTTGGTTGAGTGTTTAAGGCACTGGCTCCCTAGCCAGGAGATCGGGTGTTCGATCTCTGCATTGGCGAGAAAGTTCATCCAGATTTTCCAGCGTGATTTCCCCTTGTCAGTGATGCAGGACGGAGGGCTTGACAAGGACAGCTGTCTAGTCGTTTGGATGGTACAAAAAAACGAGGCCCTGTGTACATTGGTGTGCACGTAAAAGATCTCTTGCCCGTCTTCATTAGCCTAGTTCAGAGCAGAACAGTAGGACATTAAACCCGATTTCATTTTGTTTTCCATAGAACTGTGTTGCATTATTTGATAAATATCTGATACAAACATATCTATTCCCAGAGATAGCTTTTGTTTAATACTGAATGTACATTAGACTATTCCAACTGTATTTATATTTCCTTTTATTCAGCTATTGTAATCATGGAGAAAAGATTTGATGTAGGATACGGTAGGAAATGGCTTCAACATGTTGAAGATTGTAAACTGGAAGTATGTTTAAATATCTTTATACAATTTACTAATTTATACTAATCATCAAACCCAGATTGTATTCTTAATATGTTATGGTGCCGTGGTGAATCGGGTTAGTCGAATGATTTAACATGTTAGCTTTTGATCATTATAGGTCTGTCACGCATTAGGGTCGCCTGAACAACCTCGTAGGTTTTCTCTGGGTCATCCTCTTTCCTCCGACAGCTAAAGACCCCAATGCGCAAGCTAATTATTGAAATAATGTCAGTCCCAAAGTTTGTGTCGCGTGGATGTGAAACCCCATTTCTCTCCCTCTCTCTCTCTCTGTTATTTCAGACAGGCAAAAAAACCAAACAATTTAATTAGAACACAGATCCCATTTCGTTTTTTATAGTCAAAAATTTCGTTTTACTAGTCTTTACAACACCAGGATCTGAAAAAGATGTTATGTAACCAGTGGCCACGTTCTGGTTGAAGTGGGGGATTAGCCAATGAAATGGTCTGTTACAGCAAGATCTTGGCATGCAATGCACAGATCTGTAGGGTAAACCACTAGAAACGTCAACGCTGATTGATCAATGTCTAACATCATAGGATCAAAAACTACTCGTATGACCCTTACTCGCCCCCCCAATACAACTGGTCAGATCTTCGTGTAGTAGAGGCCATCGAAAGTATAAAAAAAAAATAAATGAAAGTTAGAAAAAAAAACAAAACAATCCTGTTGACTTCCATTTTATTTACAGTGAAGAAGCTGAAAGATCAGATGAGTTGTTTTGTGTTGTGATATTAAATTGTATTATTTATTGTAGGTGAGAAAAGAGATCAAAAGTAAAATTAAGGACAGATTTGATATTGTTACCATTCCTCGTAATATCACCATTAACGATGTCTGTCTATCATTCGTTATAAATCTAGTAAGTGTGATTATTGAATTTACTCATCTTTCAATCACTGTTTATGAGAAATCTCATTGATTAATAAACACAAAACTTTGCACATAGTTTCTTATTGATGTATTTGATATAAAAGTTTTATAAAGGTTTATATTTTAGTTAAAATAAGGTGAACAATTTTGAGTAAATTCTTAACTTATGTCTGAGTTTGTGAACTCGGGGGCCTGGTAAGTGTGATTATAGATCAGACTACCAACTCCCATGGTATTGGTGGTAATAGGATTTAGACTACTTCACTGTTTGTTGGATGAACTAATAAAAAAGTCCATCCAAGTTGTTATCCAGATTCATAACTTTGAGAAGAGGTATAGAACGATTTCTTAATAATATTTCAGAGTTTGACAAATGGCTCTGGTTTTTATCTGCTAGAAGGTAAAGAAATGTTAACCGAAGGACGGAAAGTGGTTTTATTCCAGAAAGATACTGAAGAGTTTCTAGATGATTTTACTGTTAAAACAAAACGTAAGTAGTCGGCTTATGTTATTAATTAACTTTTTGCAGAGATATTGAAAATAACGAACAGAGTTAAAATAAAATAAAATGAAATGAACATCAAATGAAATGAAATGAAATTGGTTTTAACATCCAACTTTTCTGCACCAGCCAAACTAAACAAAACTAAGCAGTGACGTTATTAGAGAGTTTTCCCAACTTAACAGTTATTTACAGTTACATTTAGATTTAGATCAGTGTAAATGGAAACTGTACATTATGACGTTTCGCTAAATTTACAGTTACACTCAGTAGGTGGCGACACAGACTAGGTTCATGATATCGATAGGCCTTCATCACGGATAGATTGTTAATTTATTAAAGATGAGATTAGTAAAGCATGCACATGGATTGTCTCAGCCTCTTCTTATTTTATCTACATGAAGGAGAAGGTCTTCTTCGTGGATTTAGTTTATGAAAACCACGATTCCGAGAAAAATTATGGACTGGATTATAGAAATTAAACAAGGTTTAGCTAAGTGTTGTCAACTTACATTTATGAAGGCTGCTGTCCGTCGGACACACTTTTATGACATGCGCTTCACGTCATACGTCACACGTCACTAAACCTGATGACATTTAACTGTCTCAGTGTAAATGTAAAGTTGTGAATTAACCTCTCTATTATCGATAAGACATGCTTAATCCTTCTAGAGTGGCTCTGGATTGGTCTTGGTCTTCATGTTCAATGAAAAAATTCCTCAGTGATAAACAATTTGATGTATATGCAGAATGTTAACAAATTTTCACTTCATTATTGTTAATAATGTGGCTGTATTTTATAGGATTGTAAATATCGGTAATGTGCCTGTATGTCAATGGGCCTGTAATGTAAATAATATGCCTATATTTTATAGTATTGTGAATAATATGCCTGTATTTTATAGTATTGACTAATGTAAATAATGTGACTCTATTTTATAGGATTGTAAATAATGTGCCTGTATGTCAATGTGCCTGTATTGTAAATAATGTGCCTGTGTTGTAAATAATGTGCCTATATTGTAAATAATGTACCTATATTTTATAGTGTCAGTAAAGAAGATATTAAAGTTACCCAACTTGAGTGTGGTTGAATTAAACCCAGCTAATTACCCAGATTATGATGTAAGTTTTCAAGAACATCTGATATCACTTTCTGATTTAAAGGAAGGACTCACTGGGCTGCAGCAAGGGACCCCAATATTAAAGGGGCCCCCATATTCATTCTGAATAATTTTTGTTATTAAGAATAAATATGTCCTTTATTGTATGTTGCATATGTTTATGCATTGTGAATTACGAATTGTATTTATGTGATTGTGATGGACAACAATCAAAGCATGAATATTTTTCACTCTGTTGATGAGGGGGGTTGGGTGGCCGAATGGTTAACGCGTGCACGTTGGATCATACGGTCTGTCATTGGGTCAAGTGGCGTGGTTTCGATTCCCCACTTGTACATGACAAGGAGTAGGGTCGTCTGTTGAACCTGGAGTTTTCTCTTGGTCCTTCGGTTTCCATCCACTGCTCAAGACCCCTACGCACAAGTGAATTATTGAAATAAAATTGAATTATATGTTAGTCCCGAAATGACTGAGTTTGTGTTGAGTGGACATTAAACTCCCTCTCTCTCTCTCACTGTTCATGCAAGGGTGCCATGCAAGCTTGATTCGACTCTTGAGTAGAAAATGTATTCACTATTTCTCTACTTTTCATTTCAGATTTACATTGAAGCTTCCAGTAGAAACAAGCAACTTAAAAACGGAACGCGATTCCTGTATCAAGTTTTTCCTGGCAATACGACCACATGGCAGAGACACTTTATAAAATGTGCCCGGGAGAACGATTACGATACAGTGGACAAGATGATCACATTCTTCAAGGGTCAAGGGTCATTTATCAATTGTCGAGAACCAAAATCAGGAATGACGGCTTTACATTGGGCCAGTAGAGAAGGTCACTATGTAAGTTAAAAACACTTCAGCATTATTAATCATTACCCAATCTGATTAAAACACAGATCCTATTACATTTCGTTTTTTAAAGTGTAAAATTTCGTTTTATTTGAATTTACTACCTTAGGATCTGTTGTTATATAACACATGTTCTGGAAGATGTGAAGGATTAGCCAATGAAACGTTCTGTTACGGTGATTTTTTGGCCAGAGTTGCATGGAACTGTGGGTAGCCTACTAGAAACATCAACGCTGATTGGTTAATCAAATGTCTGACATCATAGGGTTAAAAGCCACTCGTATGACCTCTGATGCAACCTCCCACTACAACTGGTCAGATCTTCATGTAGTAGAGGCCATCGAAAGTATAAAAAACGAAACGAAATATAGATCTGTATTGTAATCAGATTGATCAATAGATTCAAAATTTAGAATCCAAACTGTGGATTCGTGAATGTAGCGGTTGCTAATCAAGAGATCCCTGGTTGGTTGGATCCCAGTATTGGTGAATGTAGTGTTGGCTCGCTAATCAAGAGATCCCAGGTTGGATCCCAGTATTGGTGAATGTAGTGTTGGCTCGCTAATCAAGAGATCCCCGGTTGGATCCCAGTACTATCAGAGAAAGTTTATATAATACAAATACTAAAGAATGTGTATATTTATAATGTGTATATTTATAATGTGTATATTTATAATGTTCCTCATCCACAAGGGTTTGACTTAAAGTGAAATACAATTATTAGAACACATTATTCCAGGAATTCTTATTGAAAAAGTTATCACAGCTAACAAACTTTACATTGTGTATAAAAGAAAAATGTGAACAATCATTATGCGACTTTAGTTGAGAAAACTGGTCAATGATGACACCTTTACCCTGTAATATAATTGATGTAAAACATAACCCATGCAAATTGAAAAGTAAAATTGTCAAGCAAAATGTTACAGCATGTAAAACATAGCCTTAAAATAAAATATCAACAGCTCTTCAGGTGGACAGTCATTGACCTCATTGACCCCTCCTTCAAATTTTTTTTTTTTTAAGTGATGTTATTATTGCAGGATATTGTTCTAATGTTACTGGAGAATGGAGCTAATATTGATGCCAAAAATAATCTGAAATGTGCACCAATTCACAGTGCCGTAGAAGGTTTACAGAGAAAAGTCTGTCATGTTAGTTATATTTTCTTTTTTATCCATTTCTAATAATTTAAACGGCCGAAACAGATTAATTTGATTGTAATGAAACAGTGCACGACGGTGGCTCAGTGGGTGGGGTGTCAACACCGTCGGCTCACCAATAGTTGCGTGGTTCAATCCCGGGAGGAAGTTCCCTGGAATTTTCCAGCATGGTTTCCTCTTGTCCCTGGTGCATGACAAAGACCCTGACAAGTACATGCGGTAGTTCTTTGAATGGGATGAAAATCTGAGGTATCTCAGCACTATCCAATTTAGCATCTATGTATCTCAGCAAATAATAATTCCTAATAATATTTGTTATCTCAATTGTTTTTTTTTTTTGTAGATATTAATAGAATGGGGTTGCGATGTACATATTAAAAACAGCAGAGGTTTAACTCCAATAGAAAGTGCCAAAAATGAAGATTTTAAAGAGTATCTTGTTGGTAAGTACAGATAATAGGGCCGGCAGAGTTTTGACTGTCAATAAAAAAATCGTTTAAAATAGTATGCCTGTTTCAATCAGTGATTGACTTTCTTTCAATCTGGTTAAAACACAGATCCTATTTTGTTCTGTTTTTTATAGTTCAAAATTTTGTTTTACTTGTCTTTACTACACTAGGATCTGGAAGAGTTGTTATATTACCAGTGTTCTGGTTGAAGTGAGTGATTAGCCAATGAAACGGTCTGTTACAGCAAGTTCTTGGCGTGCGATGCACGGAACTGTGGATAAACCACTAGAAACATTGACGCCGATTGATTAATTAATGTCTGACATCGTAGGGTCAAAGCCACTTGTATGACCTCTGAAGCGACCTTCCAGTACAACCGGTCAGTTCTTCATGTAGCGTAGGCCATCGGAAGTATAAAAAAACCAAAACGAAATATAAATCTGTAATTTAATTAGATTTTCTTTCTTTGTGTATATTAATTAAATTGAATTAAATTCATTATACTTTGCTTTCGTTTTTTGAGTCATATTGACTAAAATGTTGTGTTGAAGAGATATGGAACCTCAGTTGATTTGTTTTTCAAATTATTTCCATGTGTTTCACATGTCTCAGCCAATGGCTTTTATAGTTTTGCTTTTGAAATTAACATATGACAGATGTCAGGTATACCCCCTCTGCAATGCCTGATTCTACCTTTCTATCACTTGGGAAACTCCCTGCATATTAAGTGGGGTTGGATAGTCAATTGGTTAGCACTGTATCATAAGGTCTGTCATTGAGTCAACTGGCATGGTTTCGATTCCCCGGTTGTACGTGACAAGGGGTAGGATCGCCTTCCAACCTCGTGGGTTTTCTCCAGGTCCTCTGGTTTCCTCCCACTGCTAAAGACCCCTACATACTAGCAAATTATTGAAATAAAATTGAACCATATGTTAGTCCCAAAATAACCTAGTTTGTGTCACTGGATACTAGCCAGCAATTATTACTGTTTTAATATTATTCACTATTCTAGATATTTATAGTCATTATTCTGAAATTGTACCAAAAATGATGAATGGAGACATGAAGTTATTTAAACAAGTTGTCCGTAAACATGAAACAGGTGAAAAAGAATTCTGTTGTTTAAGAAGCAGGTAAGTCATGATTTACTTATCTGAATGACATTTAGTAATTGAACAGTAATACATCAAAAACTATTTATGAAATAACAACTACTGGTTTATTAACATGTAACATTTTCATAGTGAGACTCTTGTCTTTATCAAGCATGGGGGGTTGGATGACCGAATGTTTAGCACGTATGCGCCCGTATCATAATGCCTGTCATTGAGTCAACTGGCGTGGTTTTGATTCCCAGGTTATATATGACAAGGAGTAGGGTCGTCTGTTCAACCTTGTGGGGTTTCTCCGGGTCCTCCAGTTTCCTCCCACTGCTATAGATGGCAGAGAAACTAACCAACGGGGACTCGTTGCCCGTCCATCTATATATGGTCCATGGTCAAGACTTCCAAATATGTCCACAACGAGATCCCTTTTTTTATTTTGTGTTTATTTTAGAGTTGTGTGTGAATTATTCGTTAGAATCGGAAGTATAAAGGGAATGACAAATTATTTTATTATTTTGTGTTTTATTCGTTAAAAAATGTCAATTATTTTATTATTTTATTGTGTTTATTTTAAAGTTGTGTATAAAGTATAGAGAGAATGATCTTTTATTATTTTTTGTTTATTTTAAAGATGTGTGAATGGAAGTACATTACTACATACAGCTTGTTACTATGGTGATCAGGAAGCCGTTAAAGATCTTCTCTCTCTCAGACTAGAAGTTGGTCTATTGGATTATAAGGGTGCCACACCCCTTCATAGAGCTAAAGATATAGAAACAATGCAGGTAAATTATTTATTAAAATCTATGATTGGCATTTGTGGGTTTTTAATTCCCTTGCAACCTACAATATTGTGAAAGTTGAATATCTGTGCCGTATGGTTAGCGCATGCATGTTGTATCATCAGGTCTGTCATTGAGTCAACCGGCATGGTTTCATATTCGATTCCTCGGTTACATGTGACAAGGAGTAGGGTTTCCTTCCTTCCAATCTCTGGTTTCCTCCCACTGCTAAAGACGCCTACGTGCAAGCAATTTATTGAAAAGAAATTAAACCATATTTTAGTCCCGAAAAGACCTAGTTTGTGTTGAGTGTCTAAAATTATTTGATGAGCCTCTTTTTTAATACAATTGAATCCAATCAGAGGAGCTTATTTACCATTGATGTTTGATTTTGTTCAGTGTGCGGGGAGAATCTTGCCAGTGGAGCAGCAGTATTTCAGTCTACTCCCCTTCAAATTCAATCTGCAAGAGAGGATCTCTTTTACTTTTATGGTGCAGAACGGAGGGCCTGACAAGGACAGCTGTCTAGTCCTTCGGATGAGACGAAAAACCGAGGTCCCGTGTATACATTGGAATGCACGTAAAAGATCCCTTGGCAGTTGGAATTCGATATAAGAATAGGCGATAGTGCCGCTGCCCGGGCAAAATTTCCCTCATAGCACACTGTATGGTGTATGCCCATCTTCATTAGCCCAGGTTAGGAGCAGAACAGTAGGACGTTAAACCCCATTTCATTTCATTTCATTTCTTTTACTTTTATGTGTGCTTCCAATTTGTACACAGAAACTGTTTTTTTTTTTGTCCCATCCGAACCTCCTTATACTTTCTTTGTCTTGTTTTACAGCTGTTTGAATTCACAGTTAAACAGACCCATGTCTTTATTACTTAATTGTTATAACTTTCAGCTTCTATTAGATATGGAGGCTGTAATAGATTGTGAAGATGCTGAGGGTAATACACCGTTACATGTGAAATGTTACGGGGAATCGGGTAAACCATCACAGTTATCCTGTATAGAATTATTACTCAATAAAAAAGCCGACCAGACAAAGAGAAATAATAAGGTTGGTTTGTTTTAATTTTATTATTATCTGTGATATAAACTTCTATACAACACATCAAATATAAGTTTATAATAACCACACTATCTTGTTGAACTCTAACTAATTGGATATTTTAATAGATATTGATGGGATATTTTCATAGATAATAGGATGGGGTATTTTATAGATATTGATGGGATATTTTGATACATAATAGGATGGGGTATTTTGATAGATATTGATGGGAAATTTTGATATTTTTTATAGATAATGATGGGATATTTTGATATTTTTATAGATAATGATGGGATATTTTGGGATAATTGACATGCATATTTTGATAGATAGATAGATAATGGGATAATTTGACAGATGATAGGATATTTTGAAAGTTAATAGGGTATTTTGATACTTAATGGGATATTTAGATAGATAGATCCTGAGATATTTTGATAGATAGTTAACAGGATATTTTGATGGATAATGGAATATTTGATAGATAATGAGGTGGAATATTTTGATAGATATTTTGATGGATATTTGATAGATAATTGGATCTTTGTTTTGTATATTACAGGGATTATTACCCATACATTGTTGCGCTATGCAGGGTAGAATAGATGTGATGAAGTTATTAATGAGATATGATAACGAAAGAAAAGTTATTCGAACTTTAAATGACGAAGAAGAACGTCATCCTCCTAGTCTGCTACATTTGTCTCTAGCCAATGATTTCATAGACGCGTGTTACTGGTTAGTATTAAAGATACATTATGGAAGAATAGATAAAGAGCTGGCAGTTCTCACTATAAAAACTAGATAATGTAAACATAATTTGCTGAAAATGTCAGTCATATTGATCCACTCTGAACAGAGAATTAAGCATTCTAATTTTTGGCCTAGCCTTGATCATAATAACTAAAGTCGGTACGATAAAAAACATAATCTTGGTTATCCATTTAATGATTAAATCATGAATGAAAGTTGAGCAGCAAATCGGAGCCTAATCCAGTAAATATTGCAGGCTAGTGATGACATCAAGAGTTGATTATGGTCTGGATAAGTTAATTAATGTCTAATTAATAATTTAAATAACATTTCAGGCCTAAAGAAAGACCTGCAATAGGCATATTTAGCTCTTGCATAATGTATGTTTAGATGTAATTTTACTTTAAAGAATCCCTTACAAAGATTAATATTGTCGAAATCGAATCTCCAAAATGGATATCAATCAAACAATTGTTCAATTTCATTCAATATTTACGAAGATATGAAGGGAATATTTGTCAACAATCGGAATCTTCTGCAGACGGTATAAACAGGATAGGGTTAAAACAGCTGGCGGCATATATAATCTTCGCTAAAATCTTCTGATGGGCCTCCTAATATTTATCTGATTGAATCCAAGCCATGTGATTATCTACCCGTTGATTTTGAGAGGAGCAGTGGAAGTGCTAAATGAATCTGGGCTGAGTCTGATCAACACAGTTGGAGCACCTCTCGAGAGCGTTGTAGAAAGCGCCAGAATGCTTGAAGACGGAGGACCTCCAGCTGATGACGGAACCAGTTTCGCAGTGGAAACACTGTATTCAAGATATCTAAATGTTTAAATTATGATATAAATGTTTGTAGGTTAATGTGTGTTTTAATTGTTTTAATGTGTGTTTGTAGGTTAATTGAGAATGGATTCACATTTAAAGAGAAAGAACCTGATATTCTACTGAAAAGAATATTAACAGAACAAATCAAACTGTAAGTTAAAGATACATCATGTCAAAGTTAGATAAAGTGCTGGCCATTCTCGTTATAATATTTCAGAAATAGATAATGCAAAATTCGAATATACTGAAAATTTCATTCAATTTAATCTACTTAAAATCGGAGGCATCCGGTGGCATCGAGAGTTGATTATGGTCTTGTCATTTTAATAAATGTCTAATTAATAGTTTATATAACATTTAAGGCCTAAAAATAACCTGCAATAGACAGATTAAGCTCTTTCAAAATGTATGTTTAAAAAAGAGATATTGTTTAAAGCCAGTTGTGTGGATGATGTGGAAGAACTGCTTTCCGGTTTTCGATTCATGTACACAATAATAGATAATGTTACGTTATTATTCCAGATTTATTTTCTTTCTCATTCTTTGCACATGTGCGAACCCATCTTTATTAGCCCAGTCGGAGTAGAACAATAGGACCTTAAACCCCATTTCATTTTATTTCATTTTCTATGCACATGTGACTATTGTATGTAAACAATTATCATATACAATATTTCTTCCTGCAGTCTGTTAAGACTCTGGGGGTTGGATGGTCAAATGGTTAGCGCGTGAGCGTTGTATCATAAGGTCTTTCATTGAGACAGCTGGCGTGGTTTCGATTGCTCGGTTGTACATGACAAGCAATAGGATCGCATGTCCAACCTTGTGGGTTTTCTCCCACTGCTAAAGACCCCTACGCACAAGCGAATTATGAAATAAAATTGAACCATGTGTTAGTCCCTACCTCCCTCCCTCTCTCTCTCCCTTTCTCTCTCTCTCTCTCCCTCCCTCTCCCTCTCCCTCTCTCTCTCCAACTGATTCAGTGTAAATCATCCAATCTTTTGCTGTCCATGAAACAGACACTTTTTTATAAGGCCAGCTGGGGAGATTGGAAAACCAGGCACCATAAGTTAAGACACAACAACGCCTTGCCGCAAGGATAAGGTTAAAGGGTGGATAACCCTAACACAAACCCCCTAAATCCTGTTAGATGAATTTTCTGTATTGAAATGACTTCTCAAACCGGACTGAAAATCCTGGACAATTCTTGACCACACAAAATAGTTCTCTTGAGTTTTGAATATTTTCTTTCTGTTTTAGAAATGATCGAGCTGTCGCTGCCAAATTTTTAATGGAAAATGGAGCTGATCCGAACCCAAGATATGCAGGAGGAAATACGTATGTTATTATAGATCTGGTATTTTACTGCTACTAACTCTCAACTGAAATAGTTTAGCTTCTTTTGATGTCACAGTCGTTGTGGTGATCAAGTGGTTATGTCCGTGGACTTTGCACAGTTTTTAAATAATGTACAAAACTATTCTCAGGGAAATGGGCTAATTATTATAATCCTTGAGTGGCATTTAGTGATCGAGCACATTAAAAAAAAACACAACAATTATTATTTACGTCTACATGTAGGTGCTAAAGGATTAACAAAATGGGTGAAAATTTTCAGAGTAGTTTTACATTACTTGTGATCTATGTTTGTAATATATCAGGCAAAACCTAGTAACTCACTTTTTAATCAAAATTGAGTTAGGACCAAATTTGTAGTTACTAGGGTATGTGTTTCCTGTTGTTGTACTAGATATTCCAATCTTTTGATTTTGTAAGCAGTTACACCCATGACACAACCTAGCTAATTCCTTCATTTGCCTACTATACCACAGCAAAACCTAGTAACTCAATAGTCAAATCAATGGATAAGCTGGCGTTTAATTTTCATTCATTACGTTTTCCTTTGTTTTCTCAAAATAAGAAAAAAGTGAGTTACTAGGTTTTGCCTTTTGACGGGAGATTTGGTGTGATCTATATTTGTAAAATAATTCAGAGTATTACATTAGTTGCGATCTAAATTTTTTATATTTCAGAGCATTACATTTGTTGTGAACCATATTTGTAAAATAACTCAGAGTATTACATTTGTTGTGATCCATATTTGTAAAATAATTCAGAGTATTACATTACTTGTCATCTATATTTGTTATATTTCAGAGCATTACATTATGCGGCGAGTTTAAGTGGCAGTACAGATATATTAGAGTTATTACTGTCTCACGGTGGAGATGTTGATATGATCAATGATGAAGGGAATACTCCGATATTCTTCGCTACTCAATCTAATAATCAGTTTGCTGCTTGCGTTCTCATTGGTCAGGGGTCGACAGTTAAACATAAAAATATGCAAGGTAAGCTGGACCTCCTTTTTTAACTTGATTATGACAAAGGCAGAAGATGACCCACCTTCTCTTCTCACGACAGCAAGTTTATAAGTTTGCTTTAAGGAACTTTTGGTATCCGAGAACCTTTTTTCTTTTTCTTTTTTTTAGTTTGTGTTTTTGACAATTTTCAACTGTAAATAATTTAATTAAATCAACCTGTCCATAATATCATATTCATTGTATTGGACGTTAAATCTGTAACAACAACAACAAGCTAATTTTGAAACAGTTGACAGATCTCATCTCTGTGAGGAGTATTGAGTTATTGACTTGTCAATCATACCATAGTTCTTGTCTCTTTGGGAGTATTGACCAATCATACCATAGTTTCTTTTCTCTGTGGGGAGTATATTGACCTGCCAGTGATACTATATAGTTCTTGTCTCTTTGGGAGTATTGACCAATCATACCATAGTTTCTTTTCTCTGTGGGGAGTATATTGACCTGCCAGTGATACTATATAGTTCTTGTCTCTTTGGGAGTATTGACCAATCATACCATAGTTTCTTTTCTCTGTGGGGAGTATATTGACCTGCCAGTGATACTATATAGTTCTTGTCTCTTTGGGAGTATTGACCAATCATACCATAGTTTCTTTTCTCTGTGGGGAGTATATTGACCTGCCAGTGATACTATATAGTTCTTGTCTCTTTGGGAGTATTGACCAATCATACCATAGTTTCTTGTCTCTGTGAGGAGTATTGACCGATTAGACCAGTGGTTCTCAACCTTTTTTTTGCCAACAGCACACCTTGAAACACATGAAAACATAGCGGCACACCTGGCTAAATATACATGAAAAATATCTGAATTTTGCAAAATAAAAACATTGCAAGTCATAGACGGCATACAACCATAGACACAGACTAGTCATGGCCACACAGAATGATTAAAACTACATAAATAAAGAAAAACACAGCTAATTAACTTACCAGTAGCCTCTAGTGCATACTCAATTGGGATAACATGGTTTTTCGTATTTTCATAGTGTGCCTTTCAAAATTTTCGCATTTTCTTAGTGTGCTTTTCAAAATTTTCGCGGCACACTGGTTGAGAATCACTGGATTAGACCATAGTCTTTGTGAGATCTTTGGGAAATAGTGACCAATCATACCACAGATCTCTTTCTTCGTAAGTATTGACCAATCATACCATAGATCTTGTCTAGGCACTGTAGTTCATTTATCCAGTATGTCCTTGAAAAAATAGGAACGAATATAATGGACAGTATGTTTATTTATTTTTTTCAGGACTAACAGCATTTGATTATATCGTAGATTTTGAGGAATGGATTGAATCCGGATATTTTACAGAAGATGTTAGAGCCAGATTAAAAGGTATAAAAAAAATAGGATATTGTATTTAATTTACACTAAACATTCAATGATGGTTTTAATCCTGCAAAAAATTGTAAGAAAGGTTACCAGGTGTCAGACAGGTAGGATTGTACGGTTATCAGGTGTCAAGTAGAATTGTACGGTTACCAGGTTCTGGTAGAATTATACGGTTACCAGGTTCTGGTAGAATTGTAAGAAAGGTTACCTGTTGTCAAACAGGTAGAATTGTAAGGTAGCCAGTTGTCGGACAGGTAGAATTGTAAGAAAGGTTACCAGGTGTCAGACAGGTAAAATTTTGTGTTTGTGAATTTCTGTTAGTTTATTACAGGGGTCACCAAACTTTTTTCATAATGGACCAGATATAACTGAAAGAATACGAAAGCGGGCCGAAGAAATATTTTGTGGCGCACAATATGCATATCAGCCAATCATAGGGCAGCATACCCATAGCACGTGACGTTACTGACTCACTGTACGATATGCGTTATTTAAGAAGTGTAAGAAGCTAAAGCATGTTTTTTATTTAGCATGCAACAGCAGGTCGAACAAACTGACGTCGCCGGCTGTAGTTTGGTGAATCCTGATTTATTAGAATAATTATATTAAGAGTTAAGACATATATTGTCATGTGAGTTATTTTAATGGTTATGTTTGTATCTAGGCCTGATCAAAGTTTCTTGGGGTTTTTTTTTTTCAGCCTACAGTTTGAAACATGCCCGTGATTTAATTCGTGCAATTACCAAAAGAGTGAAGCCCTCTGCTAATCCACCAGGTCGGTCTGAGATGGGAAAGTCGACGATTACACTTAAATCAAACGCCTCAAGTCCGGTGGCATGGAGTCATTCACAGATATCCCAGGGTTCGATACCAAGTCAACATGCTATATTACCTCCCATTGGTCAAGTGAATTATTTGACATATTACTGAATACATACGTGACAAAACTTCGGGTGGAGTATTTTCACCTCTGTTAAAAATTGTTTATAAAATTACTTCATTATGAGTGAAGTTATGAAGAATATTGTAGTCTCGATTTTCATTGCGATAATAAACAAAGTCTCGATTATTACATAGCGATTGTGTTTCAATCACAACCATCCAATGACCTAGTTAGTTGATTATGAGCTTGTCATATGAATAAATGTCTAATTATTAATCAGACCCCAAAAAAGACCTGCAATGGACAGATTTCGCTCTAATTTTAAAAATAATGTGGGTATATGGAGCATGAGGATTTAGTAGACCTATTTTTATACAATCTGTGATATTGTACATAATATTTATACATTCCTATTCAGTATTTATATTATTGTTCTTGATTATATCTAGTATTTTATATTGTTGTTATTTTATCATAAATTATTTGTAGAATAAAATTAAGTATTATCGTTTTCCCCATAACATTTTAAGTGTGTGTGCGTGTGTGTGTGCATGCGCTTGTGTGTGGCCCTTGCATTTACAGTCTTTACGAAAATGTTTTGAAAAATATTCTATTTAGAAGAGTGATGGGAGCGGTAAATCACTAAAGTATTATGAGAAAAAGAGAGAAATGGGGTTTAACGTCCACTCGACAAAGACTAGGTCATTTTGGGACTAACATGGTTTAATTTTATTTCAACAATTCGTTTGCACGTAGGGGTCTTTAGCGGTGAGAGGAAATCGGAGAAAACCCACAAAATTGGACAGATTACCCTACTCCTTGTCACGTTCAACCGGGGAATCGAGAGAGAGAGCTGGGGTTTAACATCCACTTGACATAAACTGAGGGTTTTTGGGGACTAACATGGTAATTTGTATTTCAAAATTCACTTGTGTGTAGAGAGAGGTGTTTAACAATGGGAGGAAATCGGAGGACCTGGATAAAGGCTATAGGATTCTGTTCAAATTTGGTGAGAAGCATTGGGATCACGAGTTCCGGAGTTATCCCCCTTTGCTACAGTTAACATCCAATCTGATTTAAAAATTAATACAGATCTTTATTATGTTTCGTTTTTTTTATACTCTAATGGACTCCATTACATGGAAATCTGACCAGTTGTAGAAGAAGGGTCATACCAGAATGCAGGTTAGATAACTCTTCTAGATCCTGGTGTAGAAAAAACAACTAAATCGAAATTTTGAACTATAAATAATGAAATGGGATCTGTGTTTTAATCAAGATTGGTTAACATCCAAGTTTTCCATTCAGATAAGCTGCTGTGGAGACATGGTTGCCGTGTTGGCATATTTACATCTATATATGATTGGGTATATTCCTGGTCAGACGTTTGCCAACTTTAGTAGGGCATGTCTCCAAACCACGTCCATACTATGACTTTTGATCATGACAATACTCTGATCACTCAAGTTATGGCTGATCGTTGGTTCCTGGAGTTTTACCTCCCCTTCCACTAGGGTGATATCGTAGACAAGTGTTTCCTAAGAAACTTGCCAGAAGAAGCCACAGAATAGGCTTGATCCAGCTTATTGGATAAGACACAATGTCTTTGCAGGGAGGAACCCAAGGTATATTTCATCCAAAGGAGAGACTCCAGGTGGCCACACCTAAGTGGATAAGACGCTAGCTCGCTAGCCTGGAGGTCGGGTGTTCGATCCCTGCATTGGCCGAGAAAGTTCATCCAGATTTTCCGGCGTGGTTCTCCCATGTCAGTGATGCAGGACGGAGGGGCTGACAAGGAAAGCTGTCTAGTCGTTCGGATGGGACGAAAAACCGAGGTCCCGTGTACACATTGGCGTGCACGTAAAAGATCCCTTGGCAGTTGGAATTCGATATAAGAGTAGGCTGTAGTGCCGCTGTCCGGACAAAATTTCCATCATAGCACACTGTATGGCGTATGCCCGTCTTCTTTAGCCCAGGTTAGGAGCAGAAAAGTAGGACGTTAAACTTCATTTCATTTCATTTCATTTCCAGGTGGCCACATGGCCGATTCTCTATGACAAGCAAGTTGATTGACTTATTAATCAATTAATAAGTAATAATTAACTCGTAATCTAGCCAAAAGTTGATTGATTTATGATACCATAGTGGCCGGTTCATTGTTTTACCAATTGGCTTGATTAAATTTCAAGCCGCTAAAAAACAGCCGATTAAGATCAGTGATAGAATACCAGGTGATCAATTTATTTTGAAAGCAGCATTTTGACCAACTAGGATAATATAAACCAATGTTTATTTATATATATTTTTTTATTTTACATAATAAGATTATTTAATTATATTACAAGTAATGAGATGTTTAAGAACACTATGATTAGCACAAACAGAAACTAATAATCTAGATCCCAGAGATCAATTTACCCTTTATCTATAGTAAAACTCGCCGGCCATTAATCCTCATTGGCACGATTTGTTAGAAAGAAATGCTGCTGATTTCTCCACAATTCGGCATCAGTTCGTTGCCTATTAATGATCCTTGGAACATTTTTCACATCTTGACATCAAAAGGTCAATCGAAAACACGCGATTTGATAATTTACTGGGAACTATTTTACGTGAAATTTCAGAAGAAACGTGAGTTTGAGCCGCCATCTTGGATCTGTGTGAAGCAAGCGAAGGAAGGATACATCACATGACATTCAAAATGGCCGACGAGTTTTACAGAGAGAAACCAAGGGTAAATTTATTTCTAGGATCTAGATAGAGCAACTGATACATCAGTCTTAGAAACCAGGGGCCTGTTTCACAAAATTTTAACTAAGATACAATCCAAATTTTAGTAATTTGATTGGATACTATTAGACTGATTTTAGTACTTAGCTAATCAAACTTTTAGTAATTTGATTGGATAATATTAGACTGATTTAAGTACTTAGCTAGTCAAACTTGAAGTATCTACTAAAATTTAGATTTTATCTTTAGTTAAGATTTTGAGAAACAGGGTCCAGGTGATAAAGTAACTAGTTTACTAAGTCATTATCAAACTGATAAATCTTATCAATTAAAGGGAAATGTAAGTGATGATTTCTTTGTAAAAATTTGGTCTTTATTAAACTATTTCTCCTACACTTGTTAAAACTGTTGAAAGAAAACACCGTCCTTTAATGGTTTTCTTGTTGTCATTTAACCAGTCAATATGAATTAATCACTTAAAGGGCAATTCTGCTATCCACCAGTTTTACATGTCATAAAAGAGGAGAGAGAAAAGGGGTTTAACGTCCGAGAGAGAAGGGGTTTAACGTCCAATCGACACAAACTGTTGAAAGTAAACACTGTCCTTAAACAGGTTTCTTGTTGTGATTTAGCCAGTCAATATGAATCAGTAAAAGGGCAATTCTGCTATCTACCAATTTTTTTGACTCCTTTAAACCATTTTTATCATATGTATAATTGGTGGATGAGAACATTGTCCTTTAATGGAATTGATGGCAGGTGATAACAATTAATTATACATAAACTGCACATTAACATAAATACTTATAAACAATTAATGGCGCGGGTTATTCTTTTTAAAGGATTATGAATCCCTTGGGAAGCTTCGGGAATTTGCGGAGTCCAAAATGGCCATTTTATATAAATGAGTATTTTGGGGAATATGAACCCTAAGCCTTTTAGGAGGGGTAAATTGGATCCAAGTTCAGTCTTCAAAAAAGGGTCAATGTTAGGCCTATTATTCCCCAAAATTCTCATTTAAATATAAAGCAGTCATTTTGGACCGACCTACAATTAGCATTTCCCAAACCTATTATTGTAAAAGATAAATTTTTAAGGAATATCAGTGTTTAAACATTCAAAGTTAAAAACTAGCTTCTACTTTTAACCCTTTCCAATAAACTATGAAATAAAAACACACATCTTAATTTTACCCATTCTCTATATCCCCCCAACTAACCCCTGGGTTCTTCCATGGTGAGGCACATATTCAAATTGTCTGCCCTTGATGACTGTGCTATTTTTATTAACCAATCCAAAAAACGTTAAATACAAAGGAAGTTGGCGAGGGGAAGTAACTCATCTTGTGGCAACAAACAAGCTGCCATATTGTTGTCAATGTATAAGCAATGACGCCAACACTGGTTTGTAAACAACTGTCTTGTGATTTGTTCGTAGAATCAAGCTACGACCAAGGGCAGATAATTTGAATATATGAATACCCCATGGATGAACCCAGGGTATAGTTGAGTGGAATGGAATCAGACCACCGGAGATACCGAGGATGTAATCTATCTGGTTGCTGTCATTAAGATTCTGTACATAATTCTACACACAGACCTTTAGACAGAAACTAAAGCCTGGCCTCAAACGTAGTAACACAAAGTGTCACATTCACAAAAATGGGAAGTAGTATTGGGTGTTCTAAGAAGAGTAATCATACCCTGTCTCCATGTACAACCCCTATCAATATAATAGATTAAGTGTTATTAGGTATTCGAAAAAGAACAAGTAAACATACCTTGCCTCATGTACAACATCCATCAGAGAAATACGTTATTGTGATAATTTTCATGAGAAAAAACATTGTGCATATTAAATGCAGATGAGCATCGAAACTTCTGAATAAAACTGTAGAACTGTATATTTTCTGGATTATATATTTTAGAGTTTATGATGTCATATGTATACCCAACACATTCAGATTTTATGACAAATATATGTCTGAAACCAGACATGAAGTTTTGATCTGAAAGTATGTTTCATACATAATATTTCTCCCTCCGTATGAATAATAATACAAAAATGTAAAAACATGTAGAACTATGAGTTATTAGCTTATCAAAATGTATTATGAATAGAATAATTATAATTTGTTTGAATGATAAATGCCACAAATATTTATTTTTGTATTAAAACATGGTACAGTTGTTTTCACATTCTAATACAAGATAACCATGATAGATATTTATATCAACTCTTCAACGAAATTACGAGTCTGGATTAAACGGCCAACTGTAACAAGAGACGTCATCAACACCATTAGACTTTCTACAGATAAATGCCCCTCTATTATGTTAAATTTGTTTTCTATTCCGAGCTTTAGGTTCGCCAATTTCTCCAGCTAATTCAGGCCCCGAGGAGTTCACAAAGCATTCTCAGAATTAGATTACGAATTTACTCAACTTTCAATCACTGTTTATGAGAAATATCTTTGATCAAGAAACAGAAGTTTTATAAAGGGCTATATTTTTTAGTTGAACGATTTTGAGTAAATTCTAAGCTCAAGTCTGGGAATGTTTTGTGAAATGTGTGCTGAAGGACTATTTTTGTTAAAATAACATGAATAATTTTGAGTAATTCTTAACTTAAGTCCGAGAATGTTTTGTGAACTCCGGGCCTGAATATTTCATGGAGTATTTTAAGAATATCTAACTGAGATTGGTGATATCAGACAAGTTTGGTTATAACTATGTATGAACTGTTTTCAGCAGAAAGTATGTGTCATTTAATGGTCGAGAGCAAGGCGTTAAGAAATATATTGAAACAACATGAGGTACATCAGTCCCGAGCTGTTGTTTCAATATAGTACGCAATGTCTTAAGCTGAGACCATTAAACAACTGAAAATACAGATACCTCTCGTGCTTTGCAATGAAATAAGTCACGCAGGTCCAAAAATTTCAACTAGTATAAATAATGTACATTGCCCTTATCATTATTTGAAATAATGGCACATCAAAGGATGAAGTCACATCTGTATTTTAATCATATTTAATGATGTTACTAACGTTTTTTTTTAATAGCCGTGACATTTGAACAGAATATGAATCCAAGTCGCTACCATCATTATGTATTGTAAAAAATTGTATTGATGTTGGATGAAATGAAGACCACCAGGTGTTGAGGAGGTTGTAATATTAATATTAACATCCAGATAGACATGGTCACATGAATCAACATGTCGTTCAGTTTTTCTGAATCGAGTCTTTAAAATGAAAATATCTACACAATGAAATGATAACCGTAGCTGTGTTGTGATGATGACTTAATATCTACGGAAACCTCTTCCTCGATTTCTTCCTCCACCACGCCCTCTATATCCCCCTCCACCACTACCGCCTCGATTACGATTGGCTGCAAAAAAATAGAAATATTCAGTAAGATACGACTGACGATAAGAAAGAGAGAGAGAGAGAGAAATGGGGTTTAACATCAACTCGACACAAACTAGGTCATTTCGGGACTAACATATGGTTCAATTTTATTTCATTAATTTGCTTGTGCGTACGGGTCATTAGCAGTGGGAGGAAACTGGAGAACCAGGAGAAAACCCACGAGGTTGGACAGGCGACCCTACTCTTTGTCATGTACAACCGGGGAATCGAAACCATGCCAGTTGACTCAATGACAGATCATATGATACAGCATGCACGTGCTAACCATTTGGCCATCCAACCCCCCCCCCCCCGTACAACCGGGGAATCAAAACCACGCCAGTTGACTCAATGACAGACCTTCATCGACTGGGCTAATGAAGACAATCATACACCATGTAATGTGCTATGAGCGATATTTTGCTGATATTTTGCTCAAACAGCGGCACTATAACCTATTCATATTTCAAATTCCAAAAGTCAAGGGATCTTCAATATGCCAGCAAAGTTTGACATGAATTATAACATGAAACTTACCAACAAAATTACCTGCTTTTTCACTGAATTTCCCCCCAGGAGGTGAATATAATTCACGAGGATTCTTGTTAACTTTCTTCCCGCCAGCACCATTTGATTCAAATGTTATCGGATTGATTCTCTTTTGGCTGAAAAATAAAAACATCATTTTTCAAAATGATCAAGGGCCATAACTCTAACAAGAATTATTGGAAATGGTAGAGATGGTAGTGTCTCATGCACTAATTAAAAATAATGTGTATCAATTTCAAGTCAGTGGGATGATAACTGTAAACCACTAGAGCAGTGGTTCTCAACCTTTTTTTGGCCAACGGCATCCATTGAAACACATGAAAAAATAGCGGCACCTGGCTAAATATATATGAAAAATATTTGAATTTTGCAATTAAAAACATGGCAAGCCATAGACGGCATAATAACCGTAAACACAGACTAGTCAGAGACACATAGAATGACTTAAAACTAAATTTCGCAGCACACGTACAAGAGCATCCAGTAGACGTTTAGTGCTAAAGGATAAGACCAGCTCAATTTTTCGTCACAGTGTCACGAGATGTAAACTGGGCTAGAACTAACCCCAACCCTAACCCTGGACCTAGCCCCAATGCTTACCCTATCCCTAACCTACAATTTCGCCTACAATCACGTGCCCTAACATTATTTACGTCTCAGCAACCTTGACAAAAATTGAACTGGCCTTAACAAATAGATTTAGCCACCAGTTGACATTTTTTGTCTGCTACAATTTATTACAAGTAGATATTTGTCCCCAGTAATAAATGTAATAAGACAACTTACCCTGCTGTAGCTGTGTTTGTTGTAACTGGGTTAGCAGCAGCTTTTTGCTACAAAACAAAATCAATTTTATTAACCCACAATTTTAACAAATATTCTTCACCATCAAAACTATGAATGTTATAAATAACTGGTACTGATGTTTATTTTGAGAACGAGACAGAGAGAGATGGGGTTTAACATCCACTTGACACAAACTAGGTCATTTCAGGACAAACATGGTACAATAGGTGGTCTTTAGTAGTATAAATATTTATAGCACAGTTTTAATTAGTTCGGTTTAACCACAGAGGCTATAAATGACTTGTAACATTGACACCTGCTCAACATGCTTATTGTTATTGCACAGAAAACCCACCCCACTTCTCTATATGATTTCTACTAAAACTAGTGTAAACCAGCAAAAGAGTGCAATAACATTGAACATGTCTAGTTATTGCACTGTTAAGCTCCACCCAATATACTAGAGGGAAAACAATCTGCTTATTCAAAGAACAAGGGAAGATTTCCTTTTACGTGCACACCAATGTGTACACAGGACCTCGTTTTTATGTCCCATCCGAACGACTAGACAGTTGTCCTTGTCCGGCCCTCCGTCCTGCACCACTGACAAGGGGGAAACCTCGTCACTGCAGGGATCGAACACGCCTTCTCTTACCCACTTAGCCACCATGGCTCCCTATGTTAGAGCAAATTTGAAATAAAGTATAACCAGTGCATAATACTTACTGTAATAGGTTTCCAGGACAGAGTTATAGAAACTTTATAAGTAGGTGGATTATGAAATAAATCTTTTATTAATGTGTTGATATTTGACGTGATCTTTAAAGCTACAACCTTTATTTTATTCTATAAAAATATAAAACATCACATTATCCAATAAATTAAACTGTCCTACTTTTCTGGGTTAATGAACACTGGTTAGGTGGGAAATTTTGCCTGACAGAGGCACTATGGCCTACTCTTACATGTATATGAAATTGCAACTGTCAAGGGTTCTTTTACATGCACGGCAACGTGTACAAAGGGCTTCGCGTTTTTTTTACATTGTCCTTGCGAGGCCTTCCGTTTTGCATCCACTGACACGGGTAAACCAAGTTTGAAAATTCTGCGGAAGGTTGAATTCTCGACCAAACACCAGATCTCCTAGTTAGTGAGCCAGCCAGCGCCCCTATCCACTGTGCCACTGCGACTTCCTCAGATTACAGAACAAATAAACAGAATAATCAACATATCAAGAAATGCAGTGAGGTTTAACGTCCTACTTGACTCGACCGGACCTCCCTCCCCATCTTGCACCAGTGACAAGGGCTAACTACACGGGTAACTGATGTGAAAGAAAAGAACGTTAAATAAAATAATGACTATACCTCGTCTGTTTTAAGTGTTTCTCCAGACTTTCCTTGTAACGCTGCTCGTAACTGTTTGATATATATCTGTACACCTCTCGCAAAATACTGTAACCTATCAACAACAAAATTTACTTTTAAAACAACAACAAAAAAACAGTGACAGAACGAATTTTAAATGATGGAAATGTCAACATTTTTTAAATGGGAGCAGTAAAACACAAAAGTGTTATGAGAGGGTTGAACTGACTACAAACCAGAGAGAGAGAGAGAGAGAGAGAGAGAGAGTTTAATGTTCACTTGACACTAACTAGGTATTTCGGGACTAACACACGGTTCAATTTTATTTCAATAATTCTCTTGCGCATAGGGGTCTTTAGCAGTGGGAGGAAACCGGAAGACCCAGAGAAAACACACGGGGTTGGACAGTAAACCCTACTCCTTGTCATGTACAGCCAGGGAATCGAAACAACACCAACCCCCCCCCCCCCCCCCCATAATACAAACAAACAAACCGTAATCTAAAATCTTTAAGTCTGTCGGCATTATCTTCATCTGTTAAAAAACCTGGACATCTGGAACACAACTGATGAAAGGAGAACATCAAACATTCAACGTACGAGAATTCTAATTTAGGTTCTTCATTTGCAGCTGCTGGGGCATCATTCTCTTCTGATGGTGGTAAGGGCATGTAAGCCTATAAAATATACAACAATATTAAAATGATGAAATACTATATGAGCGATTGAGTACACATGTCTTAACATCTGTACAGGCATGAATCACCATTGACATTTCTTGTTAAAAAATTTAATTTCTCACGGCCTAATCCACTCTAATATGTACACACATTGATTATTTAACATTTAATTAAAAAAAAAAAACAACAAAAAAAACGGAAATAATACCAACGCTAGATAATGTCCCGGCTTGGATTCAAAAAGGGACTATCACTAAATTTTCATGGACAACAAAATGGGGACAGGCTTATTGCATAGATCAACGAAATTTCAGTTCCGCATATCTTTGTAATTACCGAACGGAATTGAACCATTTCTGTACCGATATTTCAACTTTCACACTACTGTAGTTTGCAGGTGATTTTATAGTGCTGATAAAATGCATCAGGACTTTACAAACATCGTTGTTACAAATAAAAAAAAACCATAATCTTGTGGATACACTGAATCTATTACTATTCTTGCTGAATAAAACATGAAATAAAATGAAATGGGGGTTAACGTCCTACTGATTTGCTCCGAACTGGGCTAATGAAGACGGGCATACACCATACTGTGTGCTATGAGGGAAATTTTGCCCAGACAGCGACACTACGACCGACTCATATATTGACTTCCAACTGTCAAGGGATCTTTTATGTGCACGTCAATGTGTACACGTGACCTCAGTTTTTTTTATCTCATCCAAACGACTAGACGAATAAAACATGCAAAACAGGAACAGTAAAAAATAGATGAATATAAAAAATAACTTACTATCAATCTGTTATATAGTTTCTCTATTCGTGCTTTAGGTTCATCAATTTCTCCAGCAAATTCTGATATCTCACTGAGTATTTTTAGAATATCTAATTGGATGTTACCACCTTCAGGACTTGTGATATCAGATAAGTTGGGTAAAACATGATCACAAATATACTCCACAAAAACTTTAGAATGAACATTTTTCTGTAATAGACATTTGGTCATAGAGATTATAATATATAGATGGTTGTCATAGAGATTATAATTCTGACAGTTGTCATAGAGATTATAATATATAGATAGTTGTCATAGAGATTATAATTCTGACAGTTGTCAGAGATTATAATACTGACAGTTGTCATAGAGATTACAATACTGACAGTTGTCAGAGATTATAATACTGACAGTTGTCAGAGATTATAATACTGACAGTTGCCATAGTGATTACAATACTGGCAGTTGTCATAGAGACGATAATAATAGTTGCTATAGTGATTATAATACTGACAGTTGTCATAGAGATGATAATACCGGCAATTGCTATAGCGATTATAATAGTTGTCATAGAGATGATAATGCTGACAATTGTCATAGAAATTATAATAATAGTTGCTATAGCGATTATAATACTGACAGTTGTCATAGAGATTACAATACTGACAGTTGTCAGAGATTATAATACTGGCACTTGTCATAAAGATTATAATACTGACAGTGTAAACCATGTTAAATAGATACGAGTTGTTGAGAGGTTTTTATTGTTGAGACTTACTGAGAATAATGGTGAGGCTGTTTTTATACACTGGATCAATCTATCAACACTTTCTGCATCTGTCAGCTAAAATAGCCAAGTACAACTTTATTAACAACATAAAACTTTATTTATACACTGGGACCTTCATCTACTTGAAAATAATTTATTCTTCTGTTTTTTTTTCATTAAGAGTGAAATCTGTATCATTACTGTCCCGCGACTTTACAGCTGACCCCATACTAAACTTAGACTGCCTGTCTACAGTGAGCTAGTAGACCAACATTTTAAGTCCTACTTCGAGAATTTTGGGAAGTATTGATTCTTTTTCATTAAATGACAAGGAGAGAAAAATGGGGTTTAACTTCCACTTGGTTCAATTTTTTTATTTTGAATAATTTTATTAGTGCATAGGGTCTTTAGTAGTGGGAGGAAACCAGAGGACCAGGAGAAAAACCTTGAGGTTTGACAGGCGACCCTGTATAATTTAAGCAGGTTACCTGAAATACAAATTCAACAGTAGGTAAGTACTTTCAATGGACAATCTAATTTATATTATGAAAATAAAATAAACTTACATCTAAAGGTTCATCAAGTTCTGCTTGCGTTGTCACGATCTCTACTAAACTCTGACGACTCTGAACAGTTTTCATTATTCTTAACGACCGTAATAAATCCATTATCATAATAAATTCATCTTTAGTAACATCTTCTAAAACCTGTAATATATAATTATAATTAACTCATCTTCTAAGACTTAAAATACATAATGTACAATTAGAAAACAGTATATTCTATGGGCAGGCGGCCCCCCAACAAGGGTAACTGGATTTGTACATATTTGTTTTCAATCTAAAAATCTGAACAAAGTGAAATAACATTTTTATATGCTTTATTGTTATATCAACTTAAAATAGTAATGCTAATTGCATTTTTTTTTTAATTACATGAAAACAGGGAAAATATTTCATGAATTATTTCATGTTTATTATCAGATGTTGTATTTTAATTCCAATAAAAGTTTAATATAATCAACCTTTTTACAACTAGTAAGAACAAATTCTTCAGCATCTTTATCCAGGGTTTCTTCTGATAAAGTTTTTAATTTTGTTGTTAGAAATTTTAAAACTCTGTCTCTTAAAACATCGTCTTCCTCGTGATCCCCGACAATCTGATCAAATAAACCTTGTAACGTACCTGAAATACATTAAACACTACCTTAACGATATATTCTCCTGGAGTATAATTAGGTCATCGTTAGGTCTAAATATTAAGGCCAACTGCAGACATGGTCAAGATCGCAGGTTGTAATTAGGGTTAGGGCAAGTGATTGTTGACAAGATAGTGAAATAAAATGGGGTTTAACGTCCTACTGATCTGACGAGATAGTGATCTGAGGGTTAGGATAAGGGATAGGGCTAGCCATGTTTACATCTCGAGACCTGTGACAAATCTACAGTTGGCCTTAATATTTAGACCCCAGCCTGCTGTCCAGGTAAAATTTTAGCACAATACATGGGGTTAAACCCCAATACATTTCCACCCATGTAAGCTTTCACTTATAAGACAAAAAACTGAGGTTCTGTGCATGTAAAAAAAAAAAAAAAAGAATAACCATGACAGTTGGAATTGGAAATAAGATTGGGTTGCTGTCCGAGCAAAATTTGTCTCAAAGCCCATCTTCGTTGGCTCGGCTGGTGCAGTAAATTTGAACATTAAACTCCATTTCATTTTATAATTAGATTTCGTAATCAAAAATGGAATGAAATGAAATGGGGTTTAACGTCCTATTCCGACTGGGCTAATGAAGACGGACATATACCATACAGTGTGCTATAAGGGGAATTTTGCCCGGGTAGCAGCACGATGATCTACACATATATATCGAATTCCAACTGAATAGGTATCATTTACATGCACGCCGATGTATACATGGGTCCTCGGTTTTACGTCCCATCCAAACGACGAGACAGCTGTCTTTGTCAGGCCCTCCGTCTTGCACCACTGTCAAGGGGAAACCATGCCAAAAAATCCCTATGAACTTTCTCAGCCAATGTAGGAATCGAACACGAGATCACCAGACCAGCGAGCCAGCGTCTTACCTATGCATTCACCTTGTCTCTTTAATTTTGTTTGAATTAAATACAAATATTACTGATAGAGAAAATTTATTACCTTTGGCATTGATGGCAAACAGACTGAGAATTGATGATTGAACCAGACTTATCTCCCCTTGATCTTCACAAACTAATAACTGTGTTAATGCTCCTGATATCTTGGTAACTTGTTCTGGTTGTACTTTACATACATTGGGTAAATCTTTAATAGCTTGTTTACGTATCTAGAATTATATAATATCAATCATTATGTTTCCAATGCTGATAGTTATTCTCTTTCAGTACCGGATTCACCTATAGTATAGGCTATGTCTAGGGTCTCAAGTCAATCTGATTAAAACACAGATCCGATTTTGTATCGTTTTATAGTTCAAAATTTTGTTTTACTTGTCTTTACTACACTAGGATCTGGAAGAGTTGTTATATAACCTGTGTTATGGTTGATGTGAGGGATTAGCCAATGAAACGGTCTGTTACGGTGAGTTCTTGGCGTGAGCTGCACGGAACTGTGTGTATCACACTAGAAACATCAACACTGATTGGCTAATCAGAAGTCTGACGCCATATGATCCCTGACACGACCTCCCACTACAACTGGTCAGATCTTCATGTAGCATGCCATCGAAAGTAAAAAAAACAGAACAAAAAATAATATATAATCAGTATTTCATTTTCTGATGCCATAGTTTAGAAGCCACAGCTATTTGGTTTAAAATAACCTCTAGGTCAGAGGTCAAAGGTCATACTTACATTTACATCATTGTCTTCACACAAATCAAAAAGAGCATTTACAGCCTTAGCAGCACAATCAGGGAAAAACTTGAAAAATCTTGTAATAAACTGTGATGCTAGTCTCTTTTCTCCAGCTCCCCCCTTTACAGCATCAATAAATGACAGATATTCAGCCTGATGCTACAAAAAAAAAAATATATATTCACTTTTTAAACAACCTAACATTTAAGATTGTTCTTTTTTGGGCGTCTCCAAACCATTTTCCATTCGCATTTCTGGGCATACTAGATATCTCTGTGAAACCCTCACATCTGCATACTGATTACTCTGAGTTAGGACGTAGATTGGAATATTTGGGTGGCTGACTGGCGTCAGGCAGTATCAATTTTTTTAAGCCCTGGCCCGCTCTTTTCCCCGCAAGGTCATGATTTAAACCCAAAACATCTGTTGCCAGTGCAAGTCTGCAAGTCAAAGGTTCAAAGTCCATGCAGAGAGAGAGAGAGATGAGATTTAACGTCCACTCGACCCTAATCAATCGGCCATCCCACCCCCTTCAAGCCCTTGCAAGGATCAGGATCATCAACTGTATAACTAACACTGTCTGTTTCGTAATAATCAAAGGTCGGGATGTGTGTGTTGTGGGCGGGCGCGGGCGAATCACCTTGGTTGAACAGGGATGTGACTGTGAGAGAAGGTGACCTATATCATGATTTAGACAACAGACCGCTTCTTAATAAGAAACTAGAACCTACAGTAAACTCATTTAAATGAAATGAAACGAAATAAAATGAGATGAAATGGGGTTTAACGTCCTACTGTTCTGCTCCTATACTGGGCTAATGAAGATGGGCATACGCCATACAGAGTGCTATGAGGGAAATTTTGCCCGGGCAGCGGCACTATCGCCTACTTTTATATCGAATTCCAACTGCCAAGGGATCTTTTACGTGCATTCTAATGTATACACGGGACCTCGGTTTTTCGTTCATCCGAAGGACTACACAGCTGTCCTTGTCAGGCCCTCCGTTCTGCACCACTGACAAGGGGAAACCACGTTGGAAAATCAGGATGAACTTTCTCAGCCAATGCAGGGATTGAACATCCAACCTCCAGGCTAGGGAGCCAGCGTCTTAACCACCTAGCCACCGTGGCCCCAAACTCATTTAAATAATTAAGGACATGTGTGGGAGCTAATGGATCATTATCACATTTATTATTAGACAAAGACCTAGGCTTACATAAAATTATCAATGTAATTGAATGTTTGATTTTCATTCTTCAACTCAAGTGAAGAAGAATGTTAATTGTAAATTTTATGAATTGTAAAGAGTATTACATACAATGAATTTAATGATCAAAAAGTGTAAGAAGCAATCGTATTTCCGTGTAAACTACACTTGTCATAATGGTAGTTTCAATAATTTAACTGAGACACGTTGATCAGAATGTTTTCATTTTTTACTTAGTCGTTCTGCAGAAATGAAAACAGAAAACGTCGACACGACGCCGGTAAAATTTACAGGTCAAAATTATTATTGATGTGAAATCGAATACCTCGCCTGCTTTATCTTTAGCGTCTGCTAAGACACCAAAGTTTTTGTATAATTCTTCAATTGACACCATTGTTAAAGTAAATGTCTATCAATTCATCTATCCTATTAGTTTTTGCAAAATATTCTTTTTTCTTCGTACCGCTAGCGTGGCGGAAGTCTACGATCACACATGCGCATAGCAAGTATTTGATTATTGGAGGGAGATAACTCTAGTATCTCCGCAGTGAAGATTCGGGATGCAGATTCACAGCTCCCCAATCCAATTAGAAAACAACGGTATTCGTTACATATCATAGTTCTAAGTTATTTTCAGCAGTCCACCGTGTTTATAGCCATCTACAATAACAATGACAAATAGAAAAGTTTTTATTGAAAGCGTTTACATAAATATAGTAAGTGTAGGCCTACCACACAAAATTAATTACACAAGACAAACCAACTAACAACACAAAAACAACAAAAACTAACATATCAAATCAAGTGAATGTCAGCACATTGAAGACAAAAACTTTTATAAATAAACCGCGTAGTAGGGAAATATTGTGAAAAGCCACTGTAGTAGTCAAAATTAGAATCAAAACATAAAAAAGGGTTTGAAAAATTGAAAGTGTAATAAGTAAAAGACATTGCTTGAGTAGAGCAAAGCTGATGTGATTGTTGCCAAATATAAAACCGTCATAATTAAGTTTTTCAAGTGATACAAAAAAATGTTAAATAATTTTGTTTTTACAAATTGATTTTAATTTAGATCTAAATTGATTGTATGAATAAATTTTGTTTGTTTGTTGTTTTTATGCACGGAACTGTGGGTAAACCACTAGAAACGAATCAATGTCTAACGTCATAGGGTCAAAAGCGAAATTCCCGAAATTTTTCATACAATCAGGGGCCATAATTCAGGAAATTACAATTCGATATGCGCGAATATCGAAAGGAACCGAGATCTTTGAGTTATAAACTTACATTTCAAGTTTCAACAAAATCGGATAAAAATTGTGACCTCTATAGTGTCCACAACCTTGATATACCATATTTTTACGCTATTTGAGAACGAAGGGCGGCCATTTTGTCTGTCAGTTTTGGTCCGATTTTCACGAAATTCGAACTCAGTCGCCTATGGGGTGTAACGGTGATATAATAATACGGTTTTTTAAATCGGATAAAAATTATGACCTCTATAGGGTCCACAAGCTAAAAACGCGATTTTTCGTACAATCAGGGGCCGTAATTCAGGATGTTACGTTCCGATATGCGCGAATATCGAAAGGTACCAAGATCTTTGGGTTATAAGCAAACATTTCAAGTTTAAACCAAATCGGATAAAAATTGTGACCCCTACAGTGTTCACAAGCTAAAACGTGATTTTTCATACAATCAGGGGCCATAATCCATGAAGTTACAGTCCGATAATCGCGCATATCGGACCGTAACTTCCTGAATTATGGCCCCTGATTGTACGAAAAATCACGTTTTTAGCTTGTTGACCCTATAGCTGTCTTAATGTTTATCCGATTTTAAAAAAATGTATTATTATATCACCGTTACACCCTAAGGACGACTGAGTTCGTATTGCGTAAAAATATGGTATATCAAGGTTGTGGACCATAAAGAGGTCACAATTTTTATCCGATTTTGTTGAAACTTGAAAATGTAAGTTTATAACCCAAAGATCTAGGTTCCTTTCGATATTTGCGCATATCGAATTGTAATTTCCTGAATTATGGCCCTTGATTGTCGGATAAATCACTTTCTTTTTAGCTTGTTCTCTATCCATCTCTCGAAAATGTGGGCGTATCCTGTCTGGCAGCCGCTGGTCTATTATTCGATCATTCGACACAATTTAATTACTTGATTTTTGTAATTATTTGGGGATTTTGCATGCAATATTTCTAAAAACAACAAATCTTTCAACTCCGTATATTTTTCTTTTATTTGCTTGTTTCATTTTCAATTGTTAATTGACATGTAATAATAAATAGTAAAGAATCAGTTCATATAGACTTAACAAAATCATCGAATTCAAATATTCGAATCTCTGCGTGAGCACTACAGAATAGCTATGGTAAAATAAAACTATAAGATATTATAGAAAATAAAGACATGCCTCACATGATCCCAATGCTTGACATTTTTTTTATAAATGTGACAAGGAGTAGGGTCGCCTGTCCAACCTCGTGGTTTTTCTCCGGGTCCGTCGGTCCTCCCACAGTTAAATACCACTACGCGCAAGCGAATTATTGAAATAAAATTGAACCATGTGTTAGTCCCTACATGACCTAGTTTGTGTCGAGTGGACGTTAAACCCATCTCTCTCTCTTTCTCTCTCTCTCTCTCTCTGGGGGGGGGGGTGGCTTAATGGTTAGCACGTGCGTGCGCGCTGTACCATAGAGTCTGTCATTGAGTCAACTGGCGTGGTTTCGAATCCCCGGTTGTACGTGGCAAGGAGTAGGGTCGCCTGTCCAACCTCGTGGGTTTTCTCCGGGTCCGCCGGTTTCCTCCCACTCACTGCTAAAGACCCCTACGCGCAAGCGAATTATTGAAATAACCTAGTTTGTGTCGAGTGGACGTTAAACCCCATTTCTCTCTCCCTCTCTCTCTCTCCCTCTCTCTCTCTCTCGTAGAATGTGAATAGCCGACGAGAAATCTAGCCGTCGGCGACTGTTCATCCTCGATGTGAGTAGGCCTTTATGGAGAGAGAGAGAGGGGAGTGAGACAGAGAGAGAGAGAGAGAGAGAGACGTCGGCGACAGCTCATCCTCGATGTGAGTAGGCCTTTATGGAGAGAGAGAGAGAGAGAGAGAGAGAGAGAGATGTCGTTTAACGTTCACTAAATACAAACTAGACATTTCGGGAGGACCCGCAGAAAACCAATGAGGGTGGTATGGTAACCACGTCACTTGACAGGTCGCCGGAAAAAGTTCATTTTTTAAAACAATGCAGAAGGACTAAAATAACGTCACGGATTGTGTATTGACGGAAAGTTACGACTACCCACGGAGAACGGCGGAAATTACTAATGTTGAAATTTACCTGTTGCAGGTAATATTGACATTCGGGATCGTGTAATACTTATGGAAAGGATATGTTGACATACTTACTTGCATTATTTTTAAAAAAAAAACTTATGAAGCTTTTCCGGTGACCTTTAATGACAGACCTTATGATCAACCCCACCCGGCCTTGAGGACTCTCCTTTTGGTCTGTTTAATACAACTTGGTTTTTAAAAATCAGAAAGTAATTATATTTTTTTCATCATCGTATAACTAAAAGCTATAATAAAAATATTGCTTTTTGTAATTTTTAAACGATACGGGTATTCGATTTCTTCCCCGATCCGTGAAATAAAGTTAACTGCATGAACGATTCGCTGTCAAAATGGTTGCCCTTGAATTGAAATGATATGTTTCGGTGGCCTGTAAATAAATGACCCCTCCCTACCTAGAACTATAAAAAGATAATAATAATGACATTACAGGTTTCTAGGGTTATGGTTTCGGTGAGAAACCGGTCCAAATGTCATTTCTAATCATTTCATCAAATGAATATATAAAAAACACCTGTTTTGAACACAGAATGTTTTTACATCAGCTATTTGAATTTGTTCACTATCAGCATAGTAAATATAGACAGTGCACCCCCCCCCCCCCCGATGCCTATTAAAAGACCCTTTTCTATGGCATAAATTAAATCAGTTATTGACGTAGTTAAAATATAAACCAAAAATAAATTTGAAAAAAAGAAATGAAATGAAATGGGGTTTAACGTCCTACTGTTCTGCTCCTAAACTGGGCTAATGAGGGAAATTTTGCCCGGGCAGCGGCGCTACGGCCTACTCTTATATCGAATTCCAACTGCCAAGGGATCTTTTACGTGCACTCCAATGCGTACACGGGACCTCGGTTTTTCGTCCCATCCGAACGACTAGACAGCTGTCCTTGTCAGGCCCTCCGTCCTGCATCACTGACAAGGGGAAACCACATTTGAAAATAGGACTGGCCGCATACTCATTAGATGATACACCGAAAGGCAACCGCTAGTGTGGGTTAAAGACGAAATGAGAGTATCCTCGCTGAAACGTTGCTTAGTATTAAACTCAGTAATTGTGTATAATAATAAATAATAATGAAGTTTTATATAGCGTCTTCTCCATGTTGACACATGCTCAAAACGCTTTTTGTAATGGCTCTACTGGTAAAACTGTTGAAACAGGAAAGTCTTTAGTGCGGATTTAAATTGATTAAAAGTTTGTTGATTCTTGATCTGTTGTGGAAGTTCGTTCCATAATCTAGGACCAGCTGAACTGAAAGACCTATACCCATATGACTTCAAATTATATCTTGGAACAACTAGTGACTGTTTATTTTGAGAGCGAAGTGATCTAATAGGATTGTAGTCATATAAGAGTTCAGATAAGTATTGAGGAGCTGCATTATTGCGACATTTATACACTAATGTTAGTATTTTGTATTTGACTCGCAAAATTGATCAATTACTAAATGCCAAAACAAAGAAGAAATGAGCTTTAACAGAGTGCTATGAGGGACATTTTGCCTGGACAGCGGCACCATGGCTTACTCTTATATCGCATTCCACTGTGCATGTCAATGTGTACACGGGTCCTCGATTTTCTGTCCCATCCGAACGACTAGACAGTTGTCCTTGTCAGGTACCCGTCCTGCACCACTGACAAGGGGAAACCTTTTCGGAAAATCCCAATGAACTTTCTCGGTCAACACTGGGAGCAAACTCGTGACCTCCAGACTAGCTAACCAGCGTCTTACTCACTGAGCCACTGTGCCCACCCCCCAACCTTTTATCATAGACAATTGCACTATAGGTTGATAATAGATAAACGAATTTTATTTGTAGATGAAAGGAAAGAAAAAACAACACATTTCAGAATATGTATAACAGCCTCATCAACGATCTCTGATTTCTATAAATTAGTGACATTTTCTCGCATTTTATTAAAGGTGAAAATCAGCATGGTATTGTTTGTATATTCATACTTATTACCAACTTTATCTTGATTTCCAAGTATCAGTGACGTTTGAAACACTTTAAAAAAAATAATAATGGCATATCATTTTATTAAACGTGAAATCAGCATGGTATATTCATAGATATCACCACCCTTTTCTTGATTTCCAAATATCAGTGATGTCTGAAACATTTAAAAAAATAATAATGACATCTCATTTTCTCATCACTTATTTTTATGTTTCTATATTAGCAACATCCTGTCCCTTATTATCCCTGTCACTCGGTGTCTTGATACTTATATATTCCCACCGTGTAATACGATAGTCATATTGTATTCATTTCACAATTCACCACATTGGGCGATTAACGTATGGGAACTGAAAATAAAATGACATGAAATGGGGTTTAACGTCCTACTGTTCTGCTCTGACTGGGCTAATGAAGACGGGTATACGCTATGCAGTATACTTTGAGGGAAATCTTACCCGGACAGAGGCACTTCCGCCTACTCCTTTAGAATTTCAACTCGCAAATGTTCTTTTACGAGTAAACGGGACCTGGGTTTTTCGTTCCAGCCACGGTAGCTAAGTGGGTAAGATGCTGACTCGCTAGTCTGGAGTCGCGTGTTCGATGTGGTTTCCCCTTGTCGGTGGTGCAGGAGGGAGGGCCTGACAAAGACAGCTTTCTAGTTCTTCGGATGGGACGAAAACCGAGGTCTCGTGTATACATTGGCGTGCACGTAAAAGATCCGTTGGCAGTTGGATTTCAATATAAGAGTAGACCATAGTGCCGCTGCCCGGGAAAAAAATTCCCTCACAGTACACTGTTTGGCGTACGCCCGTCTTCATTAGCCCAGTTGGAGCAGAACAATAGGACGTTAAACCCCACTTCAGTTCATTTCCCACACACGTGACCATGCTCACGGGAAAAGGTCCGAATAGTAGTGGTTATATGGAATACGGGAGGAGAGATAGAGAAATGAAGTTTAACGTTCACTCGACACAAACTAGGACATTTCGGGACTAACATATGGTTTAATTTCATTTCAATAATTCGGTTGCGCGTAGGCGTCTTTAGCAGTGGGAGGATACCGGCGGACCCAGAGAAGACCCACGGGGTTGGAAAAGCGGCCCTACTTCTTGTCACGTTCACGCACTGAAATGGTAAAGAAATTGGATTTCAAATCTGACCAGCTATAACATTAAACATACATTATGCAAGAGCTAAATCTGTCTATTGCAGGTCTTTCTTTAGGCCTGAAATTTTATCTAAATTATTAATTAGACACTAATTAACTTATCCAGACCATAATCAACTCTCGATGGCATCGCTAGCATGCGATATTTACTGGATTATGATCCCATTTGCTGCTCGACTTTCATTCATAATTTAATCATGAAATTGATGATCGAGACTATGTTTTTTATATGTACCGATTTTAGTAATGATGATCGAGGCTAGGCCGAAAATTCAATCGCTAAAATCTCGGTACATAGTGGATCAATTTGACTGACATAAACATCAAATTTCCTTTACATTATCTAGTTTTTAACTATCACAGTGAGAACTGACAGCTCTTTATCTTATCTCCCATAATGTATGTTTATCAAAGGTTAAATTAAAAACCAAATTCAAATTCAGATTCGATTTACTTTTATCAACCACACCCTTAAAATTCTATATTTGCCTTTATACTGACATGTTGTCAATTTAAAAATAAAGTTAAATTAAAAACCAAATTCAAATTTAATTTCGATTTACTTCTATAAACCACATCCTTAAAATTCTATATATGACTTTATACTGGCATGTTGTCCCTTTAAAATAAACCCCTTTAAAGACTATTATTGTCTGTAAATCTACTATATACAATACACCAACAACACGTGTTGTTACAGCCAGTATATTATATTCATACCCTCCAATATGAATACTTTCCGCTTGACTTATACATATAATTTTGAATGAGACATTATTTGTACTTGCGTTCATATAGCGTGACCCCGGGGGCAGCTTATGTCTGAGGTCAACTGTAACAAAAAATACGAAAAGTCTTTCAACGGGAGATAATTATAATAGATAGTAGATATACCATATATAGAGCGGTATATACTGGTATGTAGCCTAGACTTGAAGCGTTATAACAAAAGATCGTCGACGCGTGTGCTAGTAGCGTATGTGGCTTACACAGTTTGTCATTATATACACCTTCACTGTCATCGATGGTAGTAGTTATACTAGTGATATAGTACACCTGGGATTTTAGATTTTTGTTGGATTTTACCTGTTTTTACCTTACAGGTAAGGTATTCAATATTTATTTATCATAACCTGTTTATGTCAGTTTTTATAAATCTATTGTATATTTGAATGTTTTGATTGATCATGCTCTGTGTTCTAGCTGAGTTGTGTAAGAGAGGTCATTGGTAATAATTTATCCGAGCTCTCGTCGTTTGTGTTGGATTAAACCACGAATTCCTGGTAAAGATCACTAGTATAGAAACATACCCACACTTCCCACCTTAGAATTATTGGTATCTGTATTACTATCAATAGATAATCATTGTATTTTAGCCCAGGTATATTTTACACAGGTAGTCTATAATCATACCGATCTATAAGGTGAATTGACAGGTAACATTTCATCATTGGTATTGGTATCAATCACTACAAACAATATACCGCGGTTTCATATCTCGTCATAACTGTTCTTCGGTGTAAAGTTCCGCATGAAAATGAAATGAAATGAAATGGGGGTTAACGTCCTACTGTTCTGCTCCGAACTGGGCTAATGAAGACGGAAATACGCCATACAGTGTGTTATGAGGAAATATTGCTGGAGCAGCGGCACTATGGCGTACTCTTATATCGAATTTCAACTGCCAAGGGATCTGACCCACTTAATGTTCCGTAGAAACACAGTACTCCGGTCATTTTGAAACCAGCACATGGTAATCCTCATTTCTGTATTTATGCGTGCATTGAGCAATGCGGGGATATGTGTGGGTTGGGGGAGGGGGGGGCGTGGGTGTGTGTGTGTTTGTGGGGGGGGGGGGCGGACAACGTCGTTTCCACCTTCTTTCTTCAGATTCTAACTGTTACGAATTGAACAGCGATGTTTTTATCCCATTAGAAGAACTAAGGCCACGCTGAGCACCGGGTGTCCCCAGAGGCGTAGCCGTGAAATATATATTGGAGGGGGGGGGGTCCGAAACCCTAACCCCCAACCCTAACCCTAACCCTTTTTTAAAACCCCTAAAAATTATAAACAAACACAATGTGGCCATGCTGTCTACACAACTCGTTTGCTGATTGGCCCAGACACCGCGTGCCCATGGGTGTCACAAGTCCCAAAAATTGTACTCTACCCACGCCGGGATACGAACATCACCTCCACCCATCCAACAAACCATAAAGAAACATGAAATACGAGTCTATTTTTTTTTTATGAATGAATGAGTGTAGCTATGAACATCACAATACCCTTCAGAATTAATAATTGTTACAAGCCTTTCTATGTATTTGCTGAAAGCGACCAGATGTTTTGGTTAAATATAATATATCGGTTTTCTATGCTACAACACTATTGTATATAATATATCCCGACTCCTTGTATTATTTGTTCAGTTTGTGTTTAACAGTGCAGTTCTCCTATATGGATTTTATTCTAGATATAAACCGAGCAGAACAGTTAGCACGTTAAACCCCATTTCATTTTATCTACACGCAAATATTTATGACAAATCTAAACCTGAAACACAGAAAAGATAAAAAATCTGGAGAACACAATTACACACAGCTGCCTGTTAGGCGCTATACACGTATTCTGTAACAAGAATTTAAATGAAATGAAATGTGTTTAACGTCCTACTGTTCTGTTCCGACGGGTCTAATGAAGACGGGCATACGCCATACAGAGTAGTGATTATCATAAGCGGTACATTTAGTCCGGAGAGCGGCACCACGGCCTACTCTTATATTAAATTTCAACTGCCAGTGGATGTTTTACGTGCACGCTAATTGTCAGTTGGGTGATTGTTAGTTTATCCCTTGTGAACTACAATATTATGAAAGAAATATCGGACCGAACATGGCCCACTTCCCCTTAACGTGGGACGTTAATCCCCATTTCATATTTTATTTCAATTTAAACAGAGAGAGAGAGAGAGAGAGAGAGAGGGTTTAACGGCCACTCGACACAAACTAGGTCATTTCGGGACTAACATGGTTCAATTTTATTTAAATAATTCGCTTGCGCGTAGGGGTCTTTAACAGTGGGATGAAACTGGAGGACCCGGAGAACGCCCACGAGGTTGGACTGGCGACCTACTCCTTGTCACGTACAACCAGGAAATCGAAACCCCGCCAGTTGACTCAATGACAGACCGTGTGATACAGCGCGCGCACGGGCTAAACATTCGGCCATTCACCCCATCCCCCAATTTAAACAGATACGTTGATATATTTTGATGAGCCTCATTTAGACCGATTTAATCGATGCCGACAATTCTGTCTAGTCTTTTATAGATAGATCGGGCTCCACTAATCACTGACCGTTCTTTGGTAAAATGACCAGTGATTATTTGTGTAAAGCCAGTTTTAGTAGGAAAAGATAAACCGCACAACAAATGGTCTCTATGAAATATTTTGATTTTTTTCTCCCTCTAGCTTAAACATACATTATACAAGAGCTAAATCTGCCTATTGCAGGTCTTTCTTTAGGCCTGAAATTTTTTCTAAATTATTAATTAGACATTAATTAACTTATCCAGGCCATAATAAACTCTCGATGGCATCGGATTTCTCCGACATTAAATAGATTATAACGGTTCAGCAAGATTTTGATTTAATCTAAAAATGGAGGAGCGATATTTAGCTTCGAACAACCAGTGAGGTGGTTGAAACTATTGCACACGCCTTGTCAAACCTTCAAATGCTAATATCTTCGCTCGCAAAAGAGTAATTTGAATGAAAGTTTCAAATTATTCATTTTACATTATCTATTTACGAACTATTATAGCAAGAATGGCTCTATCTCTTTATCTAAATCTTACATAATGTATCTTTGATAAAGACATATTATAATAGTGAATTAAACTTCTTTATTCGGGGTGTAATACTGTGAAACTATCCGAAACTCTTTAACATCTTTTCAAACAAATATACAAACATCTAGCAGCCATTGGTTAGGACCGCGCGGACAGTTTCCTTCCGAGCAGTGACTTACCGTGGAAAGGCGAGACTGTCCACCACCCGTCACCGTGTACACAACAAATAAAACCAAAACATTAAACGAACACGTATGCTATCGTCAATAACAAACCCTTTCTATTTACACAGATGAATAGTATCTTGCCCCGGCAGCAGCATCACCAACCGTTAATTGATTGTTTACGTTTATTGCCCAACTCTAATGTACAATGAACCTGGTCGAAATACAATGATTAAGCCGTTTAAAGATGCATTATGCAAGTGCTAAATCTGTCTATTGAAGGTCTTTCTTTAGGCCTCAAATGTCTTATAAATTATTAATGAGACATTTATTAACATGACAAGACTATAATCAAAACGGATGCCATCTGATTTCAACGGATTTAAATACGAAGGGCAGTTAACGATTTAATCAAAACAAAATAATCGATACTTTGTTTACTAACGCAACAGCGTTAGCAATGACAATCGAGACTCTGCTATTCTCCAAACAGCCCTAACTGTAGAATGCGAGAGAGAGAGAGAGAAATGGGGTTTAACGTCCACTCGACAGGCGACCCTACTCCTTAAGTCACGTACAACCGGGGATTCGAAACCACGCCAGTTGACTCAATGACAGACTTTATGATACAGCACGCACGTGCTAACCATTCAGCCATCCAACCCCCCAATTGTGGAATGAAGTATTTTGACTGAAATTTTCATCAAATCCACTTCTCATTATCTATATGTTTAACTATTATAGCGAGAACTGCCAGAACTTTATCTAATCTTACATAATGCGTTAAAATCTCATATCATGTCGAGTCAACCCATGCGTCTTGTCGTTTCGCATGGAACCATTTTGCCTGATCAACCTCGTGGGTTTTCTCCGGGTCTTCCGGTTTCTTATACATTGACATGAATTATTTACCATTGTATTATGTATTAGCAATCGATGTTTATTAAATAGGTCATGTGACTAAACATGTGGTGTGTCTGATATGACTGACAACATATGTTATGATATATACACTTACAACGGTTAACACAATATACTTATACTATTATTATAATATACAATAATATAATACATAATATATACTTGTACAATATATACTATTTTTATAATATACAATAATATAATACATAATATATACTTGTATTATATTAAAATATACAATACATGGCTAATATATGCTTATACAATTATTATAACATACAATGCATAGCTATATATACTTGTACTATATTATAACATACAATACATAGATAATATATACTTGTACTATATTATAACATACAATACATAGATAATATATACTTGTACTATATTATAACATACAATACATAGATAATATATACTTGTACTATATTATAACATACAATACATAGATAATATATACTTGTACTATATTATAACATACAATACATAGATAATATATACTAGGATATGATATGAATGAATGGTCCCGTGTACACATTGGTGTGCACGTAAAAGACCCCTTCACTATTGGAAATCGATATAAGAGTTGACCGTAGTGCCGTTGTTCGGGCAAAATTTCCCTCATAGCACACTGTATGGCGCATGTTCGTGTCTTCATTAGCCCAGTCGGAGCAGAGAAGAGCAATAGGACGTTAAACCTCAGTTCATTTCAATTTTTCATTTGCTTTCGGTTGTCTTGTATGCGATGCCACCATATGTTTTAGCGATGTTAACCCTTAACTTGGAGCATTCATTTTGATATCTGGACTTACAGGTTTTAGAGGTTAAACATGCATTATGCAAGAGCTACTTTGCAGATCTTTCTTTAGGCCTGAAATGTTATATAAACTATTAGACTAACCCGAAAATACATTAATCAACCCTCGATGTCATCTTATGTGTCGGATTTTCACTGGATTTGCATCCGATCTGCTACTCGACGTTCATTGATGATTAAATCCAATGGATAATTGAGACTATTTTTTTATCTACCGACTTTAGTAATGATGATTGAGGCTAGACCTAAAATTCAATCGCTAATATCTCGGTTCAGAGTGGAGCAATTTGACTGAAATGTTCAGCATATTCTCTTTACATTATCTAGTTTTTAACTATTATAGGGAAA